AGGGTTTAGAGATGTATGAGGATGTAAAGTTACCACCAGGTGAGCATGCAATAGGTTGCAAATGGGTGTATAAGATAAAGACTGGTGTGGATGGGAGTATTACCCATAAAGTAAGATTAGTTGCTCAAGGATTTGCTCAGTCAGATAAGGACTATGATGAAGTGTTTGCACCTAGTCTGAGAGCAAATACATTGAGAGTAGCATTAGTTTGGGCAGCTAAGAATAAATGTAAAATAAACCATGTAGATGTTGAAACTGCATATCAACATGCACCTTTACAACATACCATCTATATGAAAAAGCCATTAGGTTTAAAGGATGATGGAAAAACTGATTATTGGAAATTAAAGAAAAGTCTTTTTGGTCTAAAGCAATCCGGTTATGAATAGAATAAATGTATTGTAAAGGAATTAGTTTCAACAGATTTTGAAGCTGGTATAGCTGATCCTGGTTTGTTCCGAAGAGAAAAAGATGGTTTAATTTCTCTATTACTATTGTTTATGGATGACATAGCAATTATAACTAAACTGAACAAGAAGCAAATGATATTGTTGATAGATTACAGAAAAAGTTCAGGATTAGAAATTTAGGGGAAATTAAGCATTATTTGGGTCTTGATATAGTGAAAACGAACAAAGGTTTTAAAATTTCAAGCCAAGATTAGCCAATTATTAAAACGCTATAACATGGAGCATTGTAAATCTGCTAAGACACCAATGAGTAAGGAATTTACACATAGTGATATCAAAAGTTTTATGTTTGATAAGGAAATATATTAATCCTTAATCAGTAGTCTATCATATCTGGGTAATTGGTCTAGACCAGATATATCTTACAGTGTAAACCAATTGGCTAGGTATAATGCTGAACCAAATGAAAGGCATTAGCAAGCAGCTAAGCGAATAATTAGGTTTTTAAAACACACAATCCATTATTCATTATAATTAGAACCAAGTAATGAATTAGTGCTAACTGCATATGCTGATGCAAGATTTGCTACTGATATAATGACTCGTAAATCAACATCAGGTTTAGTGGTAATGTTGGGTAATGCTTTAATAGGATGGAAGTCTATTAGGCAACAACATATTAGTTTATCCACTATGGAAGTGGAACTCTCATGTTTATCACTAATGTGTACAGAATTGATATTATAAACAATTGAAGGATATTGGAATTACTGTACGTGATCCGTTATTGTTTATGAAGACAATCAATCTGCAATTAGTATGGCTACTAATTTAGCTGTTAAAACAAGGTCTAAACATACTGATTTTAGATATTTGAACGTTAGACAGTGTGTTCAAAATAAATTAATTCAGCTAGAATACTGCATGACTGAACATAATATTGCAGATCATTTCACGAAAGCTCAAGGTGCAATTAAGCATAGAGTGTTGTGAGAATTATGGTTTAACGATGTAATGTATTATATATTGACCTACCCAAAGGGAAGAATGTTAGGGATCTGTCCACCAATTAGTTGGGTTGGCAATATATAAACCAACAACATATGTTTGTAGCTTTAAGACAAAATCACTGTATTGATTTATACTATATTCCGATCGGTTGATTATATTGCAAATTACCATAAGAGGGAGCTAGAGATGATAGCTTGCTCTCTCTGACATTCTGTCTCTCTGACATTGTTGCTTTCTAAGGTTCTCTGTTGTATTTATGCTGTGTTTATACTTTGATATCTTTGTTTACTGTAAATGACAAAGGCAACCGGTAAGACGACTTTGTAATTAGATATTCCTTGGACTGTAAAACATATATGACCTGGACTGTGCTATTTCTTAAAGTAAACTTTAACTCAATTTAGTGTATGTGTGTGGCTGAATAATTATTCATAACTATTCTCATAAACGTTTCCATGTGCATATCCTTGTTACTCAAGGGTTATTCTGTACATAACAGCTATGATCTCTAGCTTCCTCTTATGGTTAATTTGCAATATAATCAACCAATCGTAATACAGTATAAATCAATAGTGATTTTGTCTTAAAGCTACAAACATACATTGTTGGTTTATATATTGCCAACCCAACTAATTTGTGGACAGATTCCTAACAGAAGTAATGGCAGTAGAGAAAGCAGAGCTACTTAATTCTTTGCACCTGTCTTCATGAAAAAAGATAATACAGTCCAAATTACCAAAAAATAACAATAAAAAACAGACTGGAAATACAATTTAAAGTAAGCAAGAAAATGGTAAAAGAACACCTGTCCATTCTAGATGAGATCAAATCACCAATATCTGACAGATTACATGTCAGAGTTCTGTAGGAACTGGCAGATATGATATCAGAACTACTGAACCATATTGTTTAAATATTCTGGAGCACTGGAGAACTAGCAGATGACTGGAAAAGAGCTGATGTGCTTCCCATCTTCAAAAAAGGAAGGAAAAAAAAACCAGATCCAGGAAACTACAAACCAAGCAGCCTGACATCAATATCTGGGAAGATTTTGGAAAAGATCAAGCAACATATCTGGGAACACCTAGAAGCAAACAAAGTTATAACACAGGTTTGTTAAAAACAATCATGCCAAACAAATCTTATTTTATTCTTTGATAAAGTGACTCAATTAGTGAACCAGCAAAATGCTGTGGACCAGGGGTTGTCAACCTTTTGGACCTCAGGGACCACTAAACTCATAATTTTAAATCCTGCGGACTAATTTTGACTGACGGTGGCTTGCTGACGTTGGTGGGAAAGTCAGTTCCATATTCCAGAGCTGCAGTAGTCACAGGACTGGCCCTTTGGTCATCCTGGAACAGCTGCTCCTCCACCTGGGTGCACCGGCCTGCCATGGACTGGAGGAGCTGCTCTGGGATGACCAAAGGACCAGTCCTGTGACTACTGCAGCTCTGTAATATGGGACCGACTTTCCCACCAATGTCAGCAAGCCACCCCGGGGTGGATTTCCCTCCCCGCCATTGGTCTCACCTTCCAGTTCCAGCTTGTGTGGCTCCACTCAAGGTAAGGTTTGTGCTTGGCCGAAGGGTGGGGGCCGGTGGTCGGGCCATGTGGGCAGCGCAACCTTGTGTTCCCATGTAACCTGGATTAATTGCTTCGGGGGGAGTGCTTGGGGGGGACATTTCTCTGCGGACCACCAAATATTCTTCCGGACCACCAGTGGGTCCCTGGCCCACTCGTTGGCGACCACTGCTGTGGACATAGTATACTTGTATTTCAGTAAGGCATTTGACAAAGTAGACCACGACTTACTTCTTGGTAAAGTAAAAACATGTGGGATAGATTTGCAACTGGCTGAAAAATCACACTCAATGTGTAGTCTACAATGGAACTACATCCACATGGAAGGAAGGAAGCAGTGGGCTATCCCAAGTTTCTGTTTTAGGCCCAGTATTTTTCAACATCTTTATAAATGATTTAGATGAGGGAATAGAAAAGAAAGTAGTCAAATTTGCAGATGACACTAAACGGGCAGTAATAGCCAACATTCCAGAAGATAGGCTCAAGATCCCAAAACATCTCAACAGACTTGAACTCTAACAAAATGAAATTCAATATAGAGAACAGTAAGGTAGCAAATGTTCAGATACAGATTAGGTGAAGCCTGGCTCAATAGCAGTAACTATAAAAACAAATCTTGAAAGTTCTAGTGGACAATCACTTAAATATGAGGTGGCAATGTGTAGTAAAAAAAAGTCAACATAATCCTAGGTTGCTTTAACGAAGGGATATAATCAAGATCACATGAAGTATTAGTAATGAAGTATTAAACCTTAGTTAAGACTATACTTAGAATACTGCATCCAGTTTTGGTCACATTATAAAAAAGATGTAGAGATTCTCAAAAGAGCACCGAAAAGAGCAACAAAGATGATTAGGGGACTGGAGGTTAAAATATTGTAAGGTTCAGCTATAACTTAAGATCACGACGTGCCAAAAATGAACTTAAGCAAAGGCTTTGAAGAACAAAATCTAACTTTTATTGATCAATAAAAGGGTAAGACTTCTCCTCTCATACACACAGATATGTGAGGAAAGTTACAAAGCATATAGGCGAAAGTAACTCTTCTTATACCTTAAGATTCTTTTAGAAGTAGAGTAATTGCATTGTAAAACACTCTAAGTTAGATTTACATCTTTCCTGCAAAAACGACAAATGTCGTCCTGGCACTTGTTTATCTTTCAGTATCCTTTCTCCTATTGTCTGTTAATCGATCACAACTGATCATTAACAGCATACTTCAAAAGGTGTACATTGCTCCAGATGTAGGGAGTTACTTTCCCAGGGAGTACATTCCATTCAGATTGATTTAGATGGGATAATCGTGTGTCTTCATATGAGAGAGATGTAACTAATTGCAGGCTAGTTTTACAACACAAAGGTTAGAGAAATATTTTCCACAGCAGCAAGATAAGAAATGCCTATAGAGATAAGTACTTCTATATACATAGGAAAACAACTGCCTAACATCAAGATAAGACATGCTTATAGAGTAACTCTCTACTCTCTCTCTATAATATTTTTTATTTCTTTCCTTTATTTATTACCCTAACAGTATATTAAGAATTGGGTCTGTCCAATATCTATCAATTACCTTATTATACCCAACATGCAGATTAGAAAAAAATTAAATGGAGATTTTAAAAACGGAAGAAAACCATTGGGAGTTGAAAGTCTACACAATAGTTACCAAGGTTGAAAAACACTGCTTCATGCGCGACACGGGACAGTCCCCTAAACCAGCCATTCTGCAAATTGCATAACTGGCCATTCATAATTTAGGCTTCATGTCTGCCAGAAGGCCATGTTAAGTCTCCTCTAAACTTGCCCCCTGGCTGAAGAAACGTATTTATTAGGATGTTACGCGATACAAGATACCCACTTCCTAGTTCTACAAAATGCCTGAAAATGGCCGCTTCCCGGCCCGGAAATACCTCTCTTAGGTAAAAGGCGAGCCCCTCCCTCCACGTGACGGGGAGAGTGGTGGGTGGGATCGGTGCTTGCACCGCCTCCGCTAGGGGCGCGTGCGCAGAGCAGGCCACCTAATGCTTCTTGCTGGATCGCGGCTGAGGGAGCGAACGTCGCTCTATATGGGGGAGAGAAGATGGCTCCCTTTCCGGAGGAGGTGGATGTTTTCACCGCCCCGCACTGGCGGATGAAGCAGCTCGTCGGACTCTACTGTGACAAGGTAGGGAAGGGGCTGAGAGGCGTCGTGGGAGCCGCCGCCGCCGCCTTAGCCTTACTTCAGGCATTGCGACACACCCCCGCGTCTCGGCCTCAGCCGGCGGAATGGAGGTAGTGCGCCTGCGCACAAAAGGGGGAGAACTATGCGGTTGCGCACTTGGATTGATTTCTTGCGCGCGACGTAGTTTCTTCCCTCCCCCCTTTTCTGTTTTTTTAGAGATGTTGATTTAAAAAAACAAACAATCCAGGAAGGAAAGATCTATTTTCTTGGGGGGAGGGGGTGTGGAATAACTGGTCCAAGGTCTCTGGGTTCCCCCCTCGCCCATCTCTTTGTTTATCATTGTTTCTCAACTCCAGCAACTGGAAAATGTGAACTTCATCTCCCTGGCTAGATGATTCTGGGAAGTAGCCATAGCACTTAGACTTGCATGCCGCTTCATAGTGCTTCACAGCAGTCTCTAAGCCAGGGTGTCCAACCTTGGCAACTTTAAGACTTGTGGACTTCAACTCCCAGAATTCCCTGGCTGAGGAATTCTGGGAGTTGAAGTCCACAAGTCTTAAAGTTGCCAAGGTTGGACACTCCTGCTCTAAGCGGTTTATAGAGTCAGCATGTTTACCTCAACAATCTGGGGGGGTCCTCATTTTACCCACCTCAGAAGGATGGAAGGCCGAGTCAACCTACTAGAGAACTCGTCAATCTTCAATTTGCTAAGATTAAGAAAGTCATTTAAGCCGCTGAAGGTCTGAAGCTGCCTGGTGAGGTAGACTTGAGTCAGAGCCAGAGGCATCTGAAGAGGTTGCCTCCCTCACTTGACAGCCTTATAAACCTTGTGGATGTGAGAGACTTCTCTTTCTAAATTGTTGGTATTGCCATATTTTTCACCAGACTTCAGAATCTTCTTTTTAAAAAAAAACAAACCAAATTTTATTAGTTTTCAAAGACAATACACAAACAAACAAAACATAAAGTATAAGAACGTAAAACATCTTTTTTAAAAACTGCTTATTGAGTTTTAACAAAACAAATAAAACATCTTATTTGAGTACAGCATAACTCCAGACTATCACATTTCCATACAAACACAATTTGATATGCATATTCATCTTATGTATTCAACTTCATATCTTATTGCTCTTTTTCCAACTTCTCACTATTTCTCCCTTTACTTCTATTCAATTATATTTCTTTTACCTAAATTTTTATATCTTCTTGTTGTTGAGATCTGAGATAAAGATACATTAATGCATTATTTTATCATACAGACCTGGGCTTAGCACCAGCTGCAGTCAAAACCGGTTCTAAGCCCTGTCTGTGGGATAACACAATATTCATTACAATAAAACAGCAACAATCACATTCATAAACCTAATAATATGTAGACTAGGAATCTATTTGGTTGAATCAATCTGGTGGTAACTGCTACTTTTTTTATATTATGTTTTTTCCAAATATTTGTTTTAAAAAGGCATGGACACGAGAACTAGTCATTTGAGATCGCATGCTGCTGCCATACACATTAGTCATTTGTATTTGCTGTTCCCAACCATAAATTTCTGAGCTAACAAAAGTTTCAGGAGTCTGAAAGACAAGCCAGGATGGCAGAAAATTGGACTGTTGGAAAAAAAATATCTGTGTAATTGAACTGATGCTTGGCACAAGTATTAGATCAAAACAGAATGCTTCAACTGAATATGAATAGGAGTCAAGCATGGATTTTCTCTCCTGATCTCTCTTTTTGTCACAAGTAGTAATGACCTTGAACTTTTTAATCTTTTTTCAAGACTGAATGCAGGAGTTGGAAGAACAGAAATAGAGCGATCCTCTGAAATCTGTGGCTGTAATTAATACATAGCACATGAAACATGGTCCCTTGATTATTGTCAAAATCAATTTGCAAAGCTAGAAATTAGACATTTAGACAGATATACAAATTGGAAAAATTAAGGAATTAGTTCTTGATCTAAAAGGAGTTCCAGGTTTGAATGAAAACCCCCCCCACCAAAGCACTGTCTTCTATACAACCCCTCTGCAGATGGAAATAATGTAACTGGAGAAAGACATATTTATACCATAGTCGAGTTTGTCTTAATGAAGTAGACTGTAGTCTGAGAAAAGTTATATTCTAAGGGTTTGTTTTTCTTCAAAGTGGTAAAGGATTATTATTTTTTTTGCATTTACAGGTTAACCTAGTTGAGCAGATAATATTCAGTTATAATGTATTTTGACATATTAGCAAGGTGTTAGGAGTTTACATCTGCCTTTATATATAAGTGATAGCACTTATTTATTTACTTATTTAGAGAAGGTATGAGTCTACATTTTAATCTGTAATACAAGACAAGGATTACCAGATATTCCACATATATTGACTTGTATTTTAAAAGAAAATTATGAAAGGCACAAAGTAAATCCCAGATATTAGATCCTTTGAAAGAGTCATTGAAACTTAAGTTAGTTTACTGTGACAATACTAAAGTATGCTTAAAGTTAGAAATGCGGTGGAAAATATTGTATCACTTAATTTTTAGGGGGGGAAATTTAGGTATGGTGAGAGAGAGAAGAGAATGACTAGTTAGCTTCTTTTGGTTGAAAGAGCAAGATTAAAAAAGAAAAAGAAACCAAACCCTAAATAATATGCTTCAGGAAAGAAAATTATCTGAGTTGCTTGTTTGTGCCTTTGATTCAAGGAAGAGTTTCTCTGCTCTTTTATTGTGCTCTGGCTCCTTGACAAAGCAAAAGGAGACCCAAGATCTTTAGAATGTTGTCTGTCGGGTGTCGCTTTGAGGATGCCTAAAGAGAAATTAATTAAGTTTTGTCCTCTTCTCCATTCCTGGAAAAGAGGTCAGGATTTCCATTCAAGTCACTATATTTCTGGATCCAGTAAACTGCTCTGGTTTTCTGCTGACTCATATCCTGGGATATGGTCAGGCACAGTGCTTTTCTAGACCTGTCCACCCATAAAAAAGAAGCTAGCTTACTAAAAACAGCTCTCTGTAGTTTGCTCAAGATTGTCTTGTACTATGTATGCAAAGAACCTTGATCATAGGCATGGGTCTGGGGTCAGCAGTATATGCCTCAAAAATAATCTTTCTAATAAATTTATAATGAGGAAAACCTGATCAAAGTGAAGAAATACAAATCTAATCTAACTGCAAACGTCCTGAGCTTTCAGAATTTTTAAATTTTAAGCAGAGCTGGATAAAACTACAGAAGTTCAAATTTGGTTAGGAATTTATAATTGGCTAATACCTTCTTAGGATTAGTTTCTTAAAAATTAATTCAAGGAAAACAAATGTCTAATGTGCAACCCTCTATTTTTTTCAGCTTTCTAAGACAAATTTCTCTAACAACAATGATTTCCGAGCTCTCCTCCAATCATTATATGCTACATTTAAAGAGTTTAAAATGCACGAACAGATTGAAAATGAATACATTATTGGTTTACTTCAGCAACGTAGCCAAACTGTATATAACGTACATTCAGACAATAAGTTATCGGAGATGCTTAGCCTCTTTGAAAAAGGCTTGAAAAATGTAAAGGTGAGTTTGCTTGATTTTTGGCAAGGGTAAAATCAATTGATTGAAAAATAGTTCTAAGAAAGCAGTATCAATATTGCATGTAAATGATTATACAAACGGAGACTATCATTTTCATTGATAGATACAGTTTTGTGAAGGAAGCATGGTGTTTGTTTGGTGCTGTAATATACTTAGAATAAAAAATGTGTTTAACATATAACTTATCCAAAAAATTTATTTTAAAATTTTCATTTGATTTCTCATTTAGCTAAGCCACAAGAAATGTGTAAAAAAATGCCCCTTTTGCTTAGAAGTTGTTTTCACTTTGACAGCAAATATATCTTTAAAGAAGCAAATGTCACAGTGCTATTCCCACTGTAATCCCTATTTTGTATAGTTGATAGATTAAAATTGGAATTGAAAAAGCCGTGGAGTAACTTGTATTACTAAATATTTGAAAGCCAACTCCCAATATTTCTTTATTTTTGTCTTTAAAAGTTTATGATCTAATACTTTAAATGTAATGTATTATTGATTTAATAAGTAGATCAAACATTTATAACTTAAATGGCACATAAAGTTCTATGATAAATTTGAAAACTAATTTTCAGAATGAATATGAGCAGCTCAACTATGCAAAACAACTAAAGGAACGATTGGAAGCATTTACCAGAGATTTCCTTCCTCACATGAAAGAGGAAGAGGAGGTGAGTGGTTTGAGGAATGATTAAATGTTTTGAGAAATGTTTCCTTTATTTTTAACGTTTGGAGTGAATAGTATGCATCATTTTTATAAAAAGAAAGATTTTGCCATTTATATGTTAAAAAGAAAATGCTTCTTCATGATTTCTGCCCTTTCTTCGAATGTACTCACTAAACAGAGAAGCTGGAAAAAATCCTGGGGTTTCAGAAAACCCATCCCCCCCCCCCCCCAGCTCTGTCCTTAGCCCGTAGGATTTCATAGTGTGAAATGTTTCAGGCGCCTTGTGTTTCTTCTCAGCCTCTTCTGTGACATTTGAAACCATCTCCCTTGGTCATTGGATTGGTCATTTGAATTAGGAAAATCTTCACAGTGACAGAGAGAACTTAAACTATTTGTATACATAAGCAAATGCATTGTTCCCCTTGTAAATGAGAGCAAAAGAGCTTCCACAAATTTGTGAAATATTAATCTGAAGCATACCCAAATAAACTTTTTATTTCTTTTAAATAAAAGATCATTCTTTTTGTTGATCCTCAATGCTAATTTAATTTTATACCTGATATGGCTAAATGTCTTTTCATATAAAAATTAGATTCAAAATATATTTCAGAGTTGTCAAGAACACATATTACAAATGGAAATTCTGTAAAACCAGATGTTCAGATGTTTGTTTCTTTTATTCTGGTAGGGTTTAAAAATATTCTAATAATAAAGATTAAATTGTAAACAGTATTGCAGTCCAAAGCTGAAATTTATACTAGCTAAGCAAAAAAATAATAATTCACATCTATTTCTTTCTCTTTTCCCCATCTTACTCTGGATCAATGGTGGTATTCAATTTTTTTCCCTACTGGTTCTGTAGGCATGGCTTGGTGGGGAAGGGTCATGTGACTGAGTGGGTATATCCAACTTTATGTCACTTGCGCCTATGCCCATTCAGTCACATATCCTCACCAAGCCACGCCCACATAACGCGGTAGGGAAAAAATTGAATTTCTACCTATCTACCTATTTTCTGCCCAGACAGGCCTGGCCTAATCTGTCAAAGGCCTGGCCTAATCCTGCATGCCGCCCGCTCTCCCTTCACCAGTCACAAGTATCACCCCGTTTCCCCTCTTTCAGAGGCCCCGGCCCTTACTCTCCTCATTTCCTCTCCCATGACCGCCTCTTTTGTCATTCCACAGATGTGACTTTACCTTCCTCCCGCGGCTGGCTGCCAGAGAAGGAAAGCCAGGGCTGAACCATTGTCACTGGGCTCCCTGCCAGCCTACATCTTGCCCTTGTCACGAGATGTCTACATGTTTTTTTCCGTGCGTCTGGACTCCAGCTGCACTGAAAAAAAGACACAGCGGCTGTAGGCTTGTTGCAGTGAAAATTACTGACCTCCGGCTTTACTCTGCTTCTCCCACGTCCATGCCGCCGTGTGTTCTAGGCTCTGGCCATGCAGATCTATCCCATTGAGGCCGCTGCATTGGAGGGACTTGCCCAAGCAAGTATGAGCGAAGCAGTGCAGCAGGCAATGGGATGGACCTGCGTGGCCGGCGGCTAGAACGCGGCCACGGCGGCACGTTGGAGAAGTGGAGCAAAGCCGGAGGGCAGTAATTTTCGCTGCAAGAAGCCTACAGCCGTTATGTTTTTTTGCTACTTCTTTGCTGGTCGGAACCTGCTAGGAGCTGGGCTACCAGCTCAGTTCCAGCCGGCAAAGAAGCAGCAGCTGAGACTTGCCACCCTATTCTTTGGACCAAGGTGGACCCCATTGCCTGCTGTGCCCAGAGTGGAGGTACTTGCCCAGGTAAGTCCCTCCGGTGCAGCAGGCAATGGGGTGCGCATGCATGGCCAGTGCGAAGAACAGGGCAGCGATAGTGGTGGGATTGAATCTCTTTTTTGGCGTGTTCGAAAAGTGGAGGCTGGTAGTTTTTGGTGCAAGAAGCCTCCTGCCTGCCGGCTCAGTTTTGGCTGGCAAAGAGGCATCAGCTGGGAGGTTTCTCGCACCGAAAAAAAAGAGGCAGCGGTTGCAGGCATCTCACGACAAGGGGGGATGAGATGCGGGCTGATGGGGAGCCCAGCGGCTCTCAGCCCTGGCTTGCCTTCCCTGGAAGCCAGCCGTGGAAGGAAGATAAAGTCACGGCCACGGACAACAAAAGACGAGAGGAAGCGAGGAGATTAAGTGCCAGGGACTCTGAAGGAGGGGAAAATGGGTGACACATCGTGCTTAAGGGAGAGCCAGTGGCGAGCAGGCGGCGGTTCCGGGGCAAGGCTGGAGCTGGGGAGTCATGCATTCCCCGACCCAACCGAGGCAGCTGGCAGCTCCAGGGCCTCAGGGAATAGTGCGACCCTGGGGCCCTGGCTCCCAACCCAAGGTGAAGGGTCAGCGGGCGGCATGCATTGCTTACCTTTGGTGAGCTGAGCTGACTGGGCATCAGCAAGGCAACTGGCGAAGCGATTAGCTGGGCCATGTGGCAGAGGCAACATGTGTAGGGCGGGGGTGGGCAGGGTGAGCATCAAGCAGCTGGAAGGGCAAGTGAGCGGCGACCAGGCAACTGGGTTGGAGATGTGGCCAGCCAGAAGTCGCTACCGGTTCGGCGACCCAGGCCAAATTGTTGCTACCGGTTCTCTGAACTGGTGAGAACCAGCTGAATACCACTACTGCTCTGGATACTCTACTGACTAGTGCTGATATGGCATAGTTGTGCTGTTACATTGAGTTTGCCATACTTCTCATTTTTATTGGACTGCCATACATCTTTATGACAGAACTGTAGGTAAACATTTGATTTATTCATTTGCTGTGTTGCCCCTTAAAGTTGCTACATCTTCCAAGCTTGACTTCAAAAGATTAAAAGTGGTCAATGTTTATTTAACTACCGTTAGTCCTTGACTTATGACACAATTGAGCCCAAAATTTCTATTGCTAAACAAGACAGTTGTTAAATGAGTTTTGCCCCATTTTACAACTTTTATTGCCGCAGTTAAGTTTATCACTGCCATCGTTAATTTAGTAACATGGTTGCAAAGTGATGTCCCCGTTGACTTTGCTTGTCAGAAGGTCGCAAGAGGTGATCACGTGACCCTGGAACACTGCAACCATCATAAATATCAACTAGTTGCCAAGCATCTGAATTTTGACCATGAGGATGCTGCAGTGGTTATATCAGTGTGAAAAAGAATAAGATTTAATATTTTTTAAAAAAATTAGAACATACTTTAAATGCTTTTTTAAATATATCTCTAAATACTAAATCTGCAAAACTCTGTACCCAGTGCTACCTGCTTGCATTCTCTCTCTGTGTGTGATTATGTGGCATGTTTGTTATGGTAGTATAAATAAGAAAGTATATTGTTTTTTAAAAACTTGCACTTTGGCAGTTTTTTGGTAACTTGTTATTTCTACATGAAAATGTGCTGAATTGTCAAGGTAAATTGTTTTTAATAAACATTTTTTCTATTTTGATACCATTCATGTTGATATGTATAGTTTTTCCACTTTTCCATGTTTGTTATCTGTCAAATGTGTTTTTCCTTTGAAGTCATCTCTGATCATTAGATTTGGATCTTGTAGAGCAAGCATGATTCTAGAATTCATATTTTTTAATTTACATTTTTTAATGTAAATAATATTTGTTTATAATTCACCAAAAGCCCATAACTTTCCAAATATAAGAAAAAATGTAGTATGCAATGTAAGTTAGAATTGATGTTCAGATAGTGATCATAGTTATCCCTTAGGTTTTCCAGCCAATGTTGATGGAATATTTTACCTATGAAGAACTGAAGGACATAAAAAAGAAAGTAATTGCACAACACTGCTCACAGAAGGAAACTGCAGCAGAAATACGTAGAGGGATCAGTCTGTGGAATCAAGCAGAAGAACTCCAGAAAGCTTTTAAATATTCTGTGGATGAAAAAGCAGATCATGGTAAGCCCTTAAATTGAAAGTTAGCTGTGAATGAGTAGCTGGGTGCATAATTCCAAAAATAACCTTTAAAAAAAAAAAAACTCCCCCATCCATCAACAACATTCTCTTTGCCACAGTTCTAGAAGTGTCTCTTTAGAGCTGAATTCTGCTAAGATTGATCAACTTGTCAAGTGCCTGTAAAGTGTCTTCTGTTTTTCAGAAACTGAAGAACCAGAACAAGCCACCAGCATTGTTCATCTGCCTTCTGAGGTGATGCTCACTATTTTTACCTATCTTAGCCCTCAAGAATTATGCCGATGTAGTCAAGTCAGCAGCAAATGGTCACAGTTAGCAAAAACAGGATTTCTCTGGAAACACCTTTATCCTGTGCACTGGGCTAGAGGTAAGAGGCTGTACTCTCAACCTTTTTTTCGCAGCCCTAATTACCATTCCTAGTAATTTGTAGTTATTTTAAACTTGATTTTAAAAAAATCTGTGACTAAGCATAACACCACTCAAATATACAGCAGTGCTGATAAAGTAGATTTATACTTATTTACCTTGAGGTTACAGTTATCACTGTATATGCCCAATCCTGTGATTGTGATTTGAGTGCTTGGCCATCAGCGTGCTTTTCTGATGGTTGCAGCATCCTACAGTCACAGGATTGCATTTACAACCACCACAGCTGGCTTCTGACAAGCAAAGCCAATAGATAAGCTAACAGGAAGTCACAAGTCATGGTTACATGACATGATTCTTCATAACTGCTTAATTTGCTTAATGGCTACAGCAGAAGTAAATCATGCATGGTCACATGATGTACTGAATGACCATGTTGCATAGCTGCAGTTCCAGTATCAATTGCAGTTAATTGAGGACTGAATTTCCTTTGTGGATCTCATTATTTAATTTTATCCAGTTCATCTAAATCAGGGGGTGTCAAATTCAATTTCATTGAGGGCCGGATCAGCAAAGGGCCAATGAGCATGGCTGGGTGGTCACAAGACTAGGTGAGTGTGGCCAACTTGACCTAGCCTGCTCACATTGAGGGGCATCTGTGATAGACCAGATAAGGGTGGGAGGGGTGATCCAGGGTGAATGCCAAAGTCTGGGGGGAAGCTGAGCATCGGTGCTTGTGCGCAACTGCAGAAGGTGCCTGGGGGGAGGGTCAAACAGTGCTGGGGGACTGGGGTGGGGGATGACAGCTGAACTGCCCATTCAGTTTTAGGTTGGAGTCCAGGTGCAGAGGCAAAATAGCGGTGGGGAGAGGTCAAAATGGGAAGCCCCTGCCCACTGCTGCCTGCCCATTTCCCACGGCAGCGTCCCATTTTCACCTTCCCTCCCTGTTGCAGTTATGTAGTACTGTTTGATACCCAGGCACCCTCCTCAGCAGTGCACAACCACCGATGCCCTGTAATTCATGCAGTACTGTAGTGCAAGATCACAAGAGAGCAGTAGCGCAAGATCTTGTGCTACTGATCTTGCACTACAGTAGTTTAGGCCTCTGTTCTCTGTGAACTGATCCTTGTACCAGATCCGGCTGAAGAGCGTTTGCAAGACAAGATTTTGGGGCAATGAAATCGCCTTGCTTGAAGCCTCCCATCGGCTTGAAAACGCCTTTCTCACTGTTGCAGTCTTGGCGCGAAGAGCGTTTATAAGCCAATGGGAGGTTTCAAGCAAGGCGATTTCTCTGCCCCAAAGTCTCATTGGCTTGCAAACGCTCTTCACACTGAGACGGAAGCAAGGGATTTTACTGCTGCCAAGTATCATCAGCTTGCAAATGCTTTTCATACTGTCCTAATCTTTTCTGTGCTCAGGAAGGGACAAGGGTAGGGGGAGAGATTGGCTACGCTGCCACCAGCAATGGCTTTCCCACGCAGGGGTGGGGTGATCCCAGTGAAAGAGGGCCGGTGAGTGGGGCATGGAGACGGGGATGCAGTGCTTATCTATATAACTTGGTGTGGTCATTTGGGCCGGAACATGGTGTGCCTTAGATCTGACCCATGCACATAGAGACCACCCTGCCGCCTCGGTCCCACCCCCTGGGCGTGCACTTAGGAGATGGTGAGCAGATGGGTGTTCTGACCAAGGATTCCTGAGGCTGTAATTAAGCACACACTTAGTCCAAACAACTCTTGTTTTATTTCAACACTGGGAATTACAGCCTGTAATGTGTTCCAAACAGTCCCTCAAGATAAGCACCCACCTTTATCTCCTTTGAATTGCTGCCAACAACTAAAGTTGGCAAAAACAACTGTAAAAGAAATAAAAGTTAAAATAAGCAAAAAAAAAAAAAAAAGTAAGAGAACACCTGTCTGATCTTGATGAAAACAAATCACCGGGGCCTGATGGATTACATCCCAGAGTTTTAAAGGAGCTGGCAGAGGTCATCTCAGAACCACTGCACCATATCTTTCAAAAGTCCTGGAGCACCAGAGAACTACCAGAGGACTGGAAAAGAGCTGATGTGGTTCCCATCTTCAAAAAAGGGAAAAAAAACAGACCCAGGAAACTATAGACCAAACAGCCTAACATCAATACCTGGGAAGATACTGGAAAAGATAATAAAAAAACAGATCTGCCAACATCTACAAACAAGTAAAGCAATAACTAGCAGTCAGCACGGGTTTGTTAAGAACAGATCATGGCAAACCAATGTTATTTAATTCTTCAACATAGTGACTAAATTAGTAGACCAGCAAAATACTGTGGACATAATATACAGTATTTAGATTTCAGCAAGGCATTCGACAAAGTAGACCACAACCCACCACCACAACTAGTGATGGACTCGCAACTGGCTGACAAACCGTACTCAACGAATAGTCCTTAATGGGTCTAAGTCTACATGGAGGGAAGTAAGCAGTGGGGTGCCACAAGGTTCCGTCTTAGGCCCAGTACTCTTCAATATCTTCATTAACGACCTAGATGAGGGAATGGAAGGGGAACTTACCAAATTTGCAGATGACACTAAGCTGGCAGGAATAGCTAACACCCAAGAAGATAGGCTCAAGATCCAGATGGATCTTGACAGATTAGAACACTGGGCCATATCTAACAAAATGAAATTCAATGTAGAGAAAAGTAAAGTCCTACACTTAGGCAAGAAAAACCAAAAGGACACATATAGACTGGGTGAAACCAGGCTCAATAGCAGTAACTGTGAGAGGGATCTTGGAGCTAAATAGGAGCTAGCAGTGTGCAGCAGCAGCCAAAAAAGCTAATGCAAGCCTAAGTTGTATTAACAGAGGGATACAATCAAGATCAAGGGAGGTACTAATACCACTCTATAAAGCCTTAGTAACACCACACCTAGAGTACTGCATCCAATTTTGTTCACCACATTACAAAAAAGATGTTGAAACTCTAGAAAAAGTAGAGAGAAGAGCAACCAGGATGATTAGGGGACTGGAGACTAAAACATATGAAGAACGGTTACAGTAACTGGGCTTGGCTAGTCTAGTAAAGAGAAGGACCAGGGGAGACATGATAGCAGTCTTCCAATATTTGAGGGGCTGCCATAGAGAGGAAGGGGTCAAGCTATTTTCTAAAGCACCTGTAGGCCAGACAACGAACAATGGATGGAAACTGACCAAGGAGAGATTCAACCTGGAAATGAGAAACTTTCTGACTGAGAACAATCAACCAATGGAACAGAAGTTGCCCTCGGAAGTTGTGGGAGCGCCATCACTTGAGACTTTCAAGAAGAGATTGGACTGCCATTTGTCAGAAATGGTGCAGGGTCTCCCGCTTGGGTGGGGGGTTGGACTAGATGACCTACAAGGTCCCTTCCAACTCTGATTATCTGTTATCAGTATATAGAGAAAACGTATATAAAATGTTCTACAGATGGCACTTACCCCCAATTAGATTAGCAAAAATGTTTCCAAATAGAACACCGGAATGTTGGAAATGTAAACAAAAGCAAGGACCATATTACCATATGTGATGGACGTGCCCAGTAGCAAAAAAATATTGGATAAGGATAAGAAAATGGATAGAGGAAATAACTAAGCAACAAATAAGAGTTAAAACCAGAGATATTCTTACTAGGTATAATAACAGGAAAATATGACAAAAAATACAATATCTCATGTTACATTTAATAACAGCGGCTAGAATCATTTATACACAAAACTGGAAAAATGATATTATGCCGTTGGAAGAAAGTGTGATAAAGAAAATATTAGAGTGGGCCGAGATGGACAGGCTGACAATGGAAATAAAGACAGAGAAGAAACCAAATACTATTTGATTTGAAATGCATGGTATAATTGGTTAAATAGCAGGTGTAAAGATAAATAAAGAATATGAAATATTACAGTATGGCGATAAATATATATGGTAGATATTATAGTGGAACAATATATATAAAGGAGTGTGTGTGTGTGTGTGTGTGTGTCTATGTATCTATGTATGTAGTTATATGTGTCTTTGTAGCTCTTCTGGTCTTGTGAGAAGAGAACAACATCATCTGCAAATCTTAAGTGATTTAAATAGGCACCATTGATTTTTATTCCATCTTTTGCCCAGGCTAGTTTGTGAAATACTTCTTCAAAGGAAATTGAACAGTGTGTTAAATGTGGTTGGTAGGAATTTGGCAAGCTAAGCCTAATTTCCAAAAACAATTTCCCCCTATGCCTGAAGAGAAAACTTTTCAATCAGTGTGTGCAACCTGCTCTAACATATGCTGGTGGAAAATGAACACTAACCACACAATCGATACAAAAGCTATGAGTGGGACAAAAAGGCATGGAAAGATACATGCTTGGCATTACAAGACAAGTTATAAAGACCTGCACATGGATTAGAGAACAAACAATAGCGTACAATATCAAGAGAGTAAAAGAATTAAAATGGAAGTCGGCTGGTCACATAGCAAGAAGAACTGATAGCAGGTGGACCAAGGCAGTCATAGAATGGATCCCACTTGATTAAAAAAGCGTCCAAGAAAGAGACCTAAAACGAGGGATTGATGTCATCAGCAAGGGCCTAATTGGCAAAAGAAAGTTCCACATTGGTTGGAAACATGATGAAGTGGCTTTCATCCTACAGTGGATAGACAAAGGCTAAGAAGAAGAAGATGATTTGATCTAAATATTTAGGTTTTCACGGTGTGAAAATTACTGTAGTTAGTAATTGTCAAACTTGGATTTGCAATCACTGCCTTATCTTCAATTATATGTGTAGAAAATTATACGCCAATATAGGTTGAATGACCTTAAGTTAAGCAATCTCTTGCCCTTTCTTTTGAAATACAGCATTTATAAATTTAGGAGTTTTAAAACTCAGTCTATTCTCTTTTTAATTATATGGAAATGATATGTATCTTTATTGAACTAAGTAGATAGTTATTTGCTACTTTATTTATTCAGGTTTTTTACCACCCCCACCCCTTTGTTTTATTTTTCATTCTAACAACAAACCTAAAAGTATTAACACTTTCTAATAGACATGAAGCTCTTTATCTGTTTCTGGAAGCTTAAGAGTTGAGAATGAAATGTTTGGGAATTATTTGAATGATTCAGCCACTAAAGATTTTGTAATTTGGAAAGGTATTGCAATACTCCAATTTTGTTATGTATTACTTTTAAAACCTATAAGGATAGGAAAGCAACATCCGTTTATTTAGCCTTTCTCCTGTGATGCTTTTACACACCTGTGATCTGCTCTTGGTTATGGACAAAATGCCAAGGCTGCTTTAATGAATTAAATTTCTTACTGACTGATCAGGAAATTGGTCCCGTGGCCCACCAGGTGATCTTGATACGGAGCCAGATGAAGAATGGGTGAAAAACAGGAAAGACGAAAGTCAGGCTTTTCAGGAATGGGATGAAGACGCTGATATAGATGAATCTGGTGAGCTGTCTGCCTTCTTCAGTTTTATCTGTCCCAAAGATTTGAACATTGAGCATTAAACCTCATAGTTCACTTCCACAAAACAACCAGCTATGAAAATTCAAGCTGGAATACTGCTCGTATGTATGATATCTGTTATGGAATGATTACATGGTCTGCCAAGTTTCTTCACTTGGCCCATTTCAAAGAGTTGATGCCAACAATAGTATGTTGAGGTTGGCATTAAGTAAGGCTTATCTTGGGAAACCATAGTTTACACCAGCCATTCCTAGCCTGGGTTTTTCTGTGTTAAATCAACAGTTCTTATAATTTGCATACTCACACCAGTTTAAAATTCTGGGAATTTTAGTCGCATTATCTGGAAGGATTAGGGAAGGTCAGAATTACAATTATGTTAATGATCTGTAATGACCATAAGGAGGTTTCCCCCTTTCTGCAAATGAAAAAAAAAGTTTTGCAAATTTTTGCTTTACTGCAGCTTGACATCTTAGTCAGGTTCGCACTTTAAGGCTTAGTATAATGTGAATTGTTTGATGTTGCCTGTTTGCTATATGCTAGAGAACAAGTTTGGTATCATGGCTAAGATAGTGGGTGTCAGCTGCTCATCTTCGTTTTCTTTGAAGCTCGCTAGCAACTGCCATAACTGGGGGGGAGGGGGCATCTGAGAAGGGAAGTGTGCTGGAGATGTGAAAGAATGCTATGGGAAATTGGGGAATATGAACACTAACAGGAACCAGGAGTGCCAAACAATCTGCCAATCTTCAAGGATGCCAGTCCCGGGAAAGGAATTTACACCGGTGCCTAAGGCACCAATTTCCCAAAACATTGGAATGAGATCTGTTTGGACTGATCTCCCAGGGGGTGGGTTTAGACATTGGGAATTGCTTTTGATATACAATTTTTGCATGTTTTTCTTTAGAGCTTGCCTCATCCATGCTACACTGAGCATCTCTGGTAAAAGTACCTTTTCTCTAAAACTTAACGGAGTCAAGGTACTCCATAGGGGGTAGCTGGGGCCAGCCTGACAGTCGGCAAGCTCTGCGGCAACAGTCAATCAGATTGATGTCTACCAAGGGCACTGAGCAAAAAATGACAAGCCACGAAAGTGGCCTGGAGGAGGTTGGAACTCGTGGAGGCCCTCTTGCTCCAAACCGCATCAACCCAAACAGGAGCTCAAATTGCCGGGGAATGTGAGCATCGGTGAGGAAGCCCTGGTGATCACTCTGGGGGTGAAGGAGGAGGATATAGAAGAAAAAGCTGTCGGTGTGACGTACACCTGGTGTCAGGTCCCATAGATCCCTATCGGGACACTACCATTTTGGTGGTGAGAGGGCCTGGATGCATTCTTTAGTTTATAATCTTTTTCCTGGTGCCTATCTATTCTGTACTTTAATTTACCTTCATGGGAATGTAAGGGGGGAGGGCCATCTGTTTTGTTTCAGCTCCAGAGCCTTCAGCAAGAGATGCCCAAGAACAGCTTCTTGATAACCTCAGCCAGCAATTCTCAAAAGAACTTTGCACCTGTGGATTGGCTTATTCAACACTGGACTGAGGGGAAGAAATAACTGCCTTAACCTAATTGACTTGCATGGGAATCCTCAGATCCTCCTTCCTTTTGTCTTGCTATCTCTTTCCTTCAAGAAAAGGCTCCTTTTGAAATGTTAATTGTTTCAAGAGTTCTCCTTTCTTGAATAGAGAGGAGAGGCAGGCCCTTACACCCAGGGAAGCTGCAGAGCCAGGAGACAGCGTCGTGGAGTTCAAAGAGGAGTTTCCAGGGGAGCTGGATGAACAAGACTTGGTGGAGCAAGCCCAAAGGGTGTTGAGAGAAGGGTGTTGAGAGATGAGAAGCCAGTGGGCCAAAGAACTTCTTGTCTAGCTAGCAGAGCCTCAACATCCACAAGGGCTGGTGGGACATGGTGCTGTAAATGCAGCCTCACCCAGACCCATCCTGGCCCAAGCAGCTTCACCACTAGCTGCTCAGGCAGCACAGCCCCTTTCCCAAGGGGGGAGGACTGTCCTCCCAAGAAAAGGGATTCTGAGACCTTCTGCCCTGGGCTTGAAATACGCAGGAGACCCAAAACAACTGGAGTTTTCCCTCACCCAAGTGTATAGAGCCAACCTCCCACCAAAGCAGCCTGGGTCTGATGCGTGACCATGGCCGCAGAAGCACGATGATGTGCCAGAGCTCCGAAACTTTAATCAATTCATGATTGATTGGTGGCCTTGCGTAAGCAGGTCAAACTCTGTCCAATGCAAGACCTGAATCTGCATCAAAATCATCAATCAGGGTTACGGAGTGGCAGCATTTTGTGAGCTGGTGTGCTGGCTGGCCAACTGACCAGAGGATATCCTAATAGAGTGCTTCCAAGATGGGCTCAATGACAATGAATAAAACACCTGCATCTCACAGGGAGCCCCCCTCCCCCCAGCACTCTTTCCAGCAATGTTATGTGCTAGCTGAAGAGGTGGAGATAGACCTGGCTAGGTCCTGCAGCTAAAACACCTGCAGATGGTGCTGTTCTCCATTTCTGGCAAAAGCAAAGGACCTGAGAACACCTGGATGCAACCTCAGTCCCAAATGCTGACGTACCAGATATTTCAATCTTGGGAAGGACACCAAGTTGCTGACTGCCAACTCACCAAAATGACTCCAAAAACGGTTGGTAACCCTGGGAAAAAGGTGGGAAAAGCCACCCCAATGTCCCATGAGACAGCGTTAGAGGAGTTGAAATTGTTGAGTTCTCCCCTCCTGGCTTTGGGGAGGAGGGAACTCTGACTACCCCAGAGAGGAGCAACACCGACTCTGATGACAATCCCTTGGTAAGGCGCCCTGTGAACCCTGTAACCATCCCAGTTGAGCTGAATGTGTCATTGTTGGGAGTCCAGGGGAAGGTGTTGGCTTTATTGGGTTCAGACTGCGTGGTGAGCCCTGAGTTGGTGGAAAAATTAGGACTCAGGCTCTTGACAGTTAGGGATACCATAGCATTTTGTTAGCTAGATGGGACCATGGCTGGGGGAGTCCCGACTCAATTTATAATGGAACCAGTGGAGATAAGAATGGGTGACCGCTGGGAGACCCTGAGTTTTACAGTGGCTCCAGAGATGAAGAGCCCCCTGTTGCTGGGGCTAGCATGGCTCCAAAAAATGGAATCCGTATGTGAACTGGCAAAAGAGACTGTCAAAAATTCAAAGGAGGTGGTGAGAGAGGAAAAGGCTTCTCCTTGGAAGGCTAGCAGCAAATCCACCCGGAGTGTGTTGAAATTAACTGTAATGGCTCAAGACCAACCAAGGTGGGACCCAGAAATATCCAGGGAATATTGGAATCTAAAGGACATTTTTAGCAAGAAAGGGTCTGATGCACTCCCACACCAGCCAACCGACTGCGCCATCAAGATCCTCCCTGGGTCTAAACTGCCAAACCTCAAGTTGTATTCCATGACCCTCAGAGAGCTAGAAGAACTTTGTGCGTTAATCGATAAGAATCTGCAATGCAAGTTTCATTCAATCAGCCAGACCCCAGTTGCCGTCCCAGTCCTATTCCACGAAAAGAAAGATGGCTGTTTCTGCTTGTACATGAATTACTGCAGGCTTAATGCAGTCTGTGTGGAGAATGTATACATTAAGGACAAGCTAGCCTACTTAGCCAAGGGGAAGATCTTTATGAAACTGGACTTATGTGAAACATATTATCGAGTCAGTATTAAGGAGGGAGTTGAGTGGAAAATGGCTTTCAACTTGATCCTGGGGTGTTTACAATTCCAAGTGTTACTGTTTGGATAGCAAGAAGCCCCTGCCATGTTCATGCAGCTAGTAAACAAAGTCCTGTATGAACACTTATACAAAGGGGTGTTGATGTATCTAGATGACATTCTGATTTACTCCGAAATGAAGGACGAGCATGTTAGGCTCATATGAACTGTGTTAAAAAATTGCAGCCGGCCAAGCTGTACACTAAATTTTCAAAGTGTGAGTTCCATAAAGACAAAATTGAATACTTGGGATACTAAATCTCACAGGAGAGGGTGGAAATGGGCTCAGAAAAAGTAAGGGCAGATTTGGAATGCCTCTCCCCCTCTCATGAGGAAGCAACTCCTAAGTTTCTTGGGGTTTGCAAATTTTTGCCAGCAATTTATTCCTGCTTTTGCCCAAATCACCCTAACCCATTACAAATTTTTTGAAAACGAAATGGGAGGGAAAACGGAAGCCTACCCAACCATTAAATTGGACTATGGAATGCCAAGCCACACTTGAAAAGCTTAAGCTGTTCTTTACAGCAGAACCTGCGTTGAAACACCCAAAATCAGATGCCCCCTTCGTAATTCAGGCAGATGCTAGTGACGTGACCATAGGGGCTGTGCTGCTGCAAGAAAACTTTCAGGGAACCTTTCAGCCCTGTGCCAACACTTCCAAAAAATTAACGGACCCAGAATGCAGGTGGACAATCTGGAAGAAGGATGCCTATGCAGGTGGGGCCAATCTGACAGTGGGCCCCCACCTTTCTATTTTGGTGGCCTGGCGCAGAGGGGAGAGGGGTTGGTTCTGTGTGAGTGGCAGGTGCACGTGTGCACAGCTCCTTTGCACAAGGTCGTATGTGTGTGCTCACCACTCACACAAGTGGAGCCGCTCATGTGCCACCCACCATTTGCACTGCCTGGTTCCGAACAGGCCATGGCCCAGGCTGCAGGGGTTGAATACCACTGGCTAAGGTGCTGGCCTAGAGACGAGGAGATGATGAGTTCTAGTTCTTCTGTAGGCATGAAAGCCAGCTGAGTGATACTCTTTGAGCCCAATTTACTCTCACAGGCTGTTGTTAGGAAGATAGGCAGATTAGGTAGATTCATATAACATACAGCAATGTATGTGTATAAATTCTGTTTTTTCTTTTCATGCAGGAAAGTCATGTACTATCTAGATTGTCTCTGCATACAATTACTAGTACATGTATCTCTGAAACATTCTAGCTTAGTATAATACGAATACTGAATTTGGACTAATACTAACATTTAGCTTAGCTATGACTAAAACACAGTATTAACTGCAGCAAATTGATCCAGGTGACAGGATAAACTGCAATTAAGTATAAACTTCCAGTTTTTTTCTCAATATAGTAGTTTAGAACATTCATTTTTATTAAATGTTTCTTCTCGTTTTTTTAAAATAGAAGAAAATGGAGAAGAATCCTCGGCTATCAGCATTGTACAGAAAGAGAAAGACTTACTTCAAGGCATAATCCATAATATTCTGCCACGTGTAGGCTCATCAGTGAAAACCATTGTACTGGCATACAGTTCAGCCTTATCTAATAAAATGGTACAGTATAAACAATATGTGATTCTCTGGAGTGTAAAAGTATCCTGAATGTATTTTAAAAATGTGTGTCGCCTTTTTTATAGTTGACACTTAAGATGAACTAATAATATATAAAGGAAATACAAGTTGAAAATAGGTTTTGCTATTTTCTTCATTCCTTTTATAATTCAGCCTTCTTAAACTGTTTTAATATAGGTCAGACACATCTTGGAACTTTGTCCTAACCTGGAATACCTTGATCTCACTCAGACTGATATTTCTGATTCTGCATTTGAAAGGTTGGTAGTTTTCATTTTAGGTAATAGTCTGTATGTATGAGAGATTGGTTACCTTGTTATGTGTTATCATTCCCAGCACTTACAGATAGTCCTCACTTAACAACCATTAGATTTTTTGAAGTTAGATAGTGCTAAATGGTGGTTGCAACCAGTCCATGAAGTTACAGTATAACTTTTCCAATACCCTCGCAATCGTGATCAAAACTTGGGTGCTCTATGGACTTCCAGTTTGGTGTCATGGTTATATGGTTGAGGGAAAAGCTGGGCTCTACTTTCTGTGATTGATTTCATCCTGCCAGAGGCCCCCAAGAGGGTGAAAATTGCCCCATAGAAGCGACAATAGAAGTGGGAATCCTGTAGATCACAAGCAGATGGTTTGCTCGTTCGATCCAGGAAAGCAGCCAAACTGTCATGAGAAAAAGCTAGCTGCATTTGCACAACTGCCTGAAGCCATCGACAACTGGAGAAAAGAAAGCTCTGGGTACTGCTGAGTACCAATAAAAAGATTACCAACATCATGCTTTGAAGTTGGGTAACACTACTTTTTCTCTGTCCCTTTGAAAAATACTTCCTGGAACGGATAAATCGCAAAAGAAGGAAAGCCCCAGGTGCAACCCCCCCTTCACCAGAGGAAAAGAAGCGGCAGTCAAATGAATGAAGGGCCCAAAAGGGAAACTAAAATAGAAAACCAGAATGAACAGAAAAAAACTCTATATGGCGGCTCAAAATAACTAATCAAAGAACACTACACTTTATTTGTGTTACTGATTCCTGAAGAATTAATTGAGGGAGAGTGACACCTTGTGGCAAAGAGGAGAAAATTGTTGAAACATCTTATATGTAAACAGAAGATGTGATTCTAAGCCCAGACATAAATAACAGGTGGTAACTTTGAGGCTGGTAATTTATCAGCTGAATAAAGAGAACAAGGTGTTTCACTGTTTAATATTTGGTGGGTTTTTATTGTTTGGACTAGTTAAAGCCGATGTGTTCTTGTGGATTACAAACATTGATTGACTTGGATTTATTGACATTGCAAGACAAGCTGGTTATACAGATCTCAGAGTTTTGATTACAAACATCGATTGAACTGCAACTCCTCTGATTGAGAGAGTTGAATTAAAAACTTTATTTTGCTTTGGTGGATTCAAATATTGGATTATTGGAACCTGTTAGATAATAAAGCCTACAGACAAAGGAAAAAGTATAAACTATAATTAAAAGTTGTAAGATTTAAGATGCAATTTAAATTGCTTAATGATAAGTTGAATAATTTTAGCTATATTAGACAACATTAACATTACTAGTTATTAGCTGAAGAACTTAACATTTGCTGGGGGGGAATAAAAATGAGTGCCTCAAATCTCACTAAAATTGGTAAAAAGCCCTCCTCTGAGAATGCTCAGGAAGATAAATCTATCTCAGTATTTACTTCTGTCCTACTACTGCAGCGCCACTGAGAGTGTCTTGACATACTGCATTCTTGTATAGTATGGGAGCAGCTCTGTAGCAGACAAAAAAGCTCTACAGAGAATCATTAAAACTGCCCAGAATATCATTGGGCTCAAGCTACCAGCCCTGGATGACATCTTCACATCTCCTTGTTTGAGGAAGTTGCACAACATTCTCAGAGACTCTTGCCATCCTGCTTACAATCTTTATGAACTGTTTCCTTCTGGCAGAAGATACAGAACAATTAAAACACAGACCACATGTTTCTGAATAGTTTTTATCCCAGATCTATAATTGCACCTAACAATGAAATTAAGGGCCACCATCAATGAGCTGTTGGACAGTATTACTTGGTCTGTTGTGTGGATGCTTGTGTGTTTTTAGGAGGCAGGGAATTTTGGCGGGTGAGAAGGTAATTGGGGATTGTCGTGTGTGTGCATGTTGAGTGTGTTCTTTGGGTATTATGTGAATTTCGTATGTAAAGAATTCAATTCAGCACTTTCCTCTGGATCTCCTAGTCGTGTACACCAAAGATCAATAGATTGAATAGTCTAGCAAGAAAAATCTAAAAACTTTCAAAAAGTAATGCAGACAACATTATGATTGATTCAGGAAGCAATTGCCTCACAAAAAGAAGATATAAGAAAGAATCACGATGAGATAAAAAGCGAGATAAAAAGTAATCAATACAAGATGGAAGAAAAAATAGACAAGATAAACGAAGAGGTCCTTAACATAAATTCCCAGCTAGAAAATTTTCAACAAAGGCTTACAAAGAATGAACAAAGAATTAAGAAAATGGAAGATAAAACAGAAGATGGAAATTGGAAAAATGGGAGAAAAAGATGGAATAAAAGAAGAAAACCAAAGATTGGCACAAGCAAATAAAAATCTGGAAGATGCAGTGGCAACATAAGAAATGGAGAAAGCTTCATACATATTAGGATTTCAGAATATACCTGAAGATAAAGAGGAAGATTTAATGGAATTGATTACGAACCTGCTAGCAGACGCTTTGCAAATTGAGAAAGTTGTAATAGTAGAGGAGATTGACCAAATTTACAAACTAAACTGAAGCTACGCAAGTAGACACAAAGTGCCCATGGAGGTCCATGTTAGATTTGCAGGAGAACAGTAAGGGATGAAATATTGTAATGGTTCTTTCCTCACTCTCTTCAATAAAGAAAAAAGGAAGTCACGGTGTTGAAATGGATCCCCTGGAAGATAAGAGAACTAAGACAATATCAATTTTTGACAACAAAGCTGAATGAAAAAGGAATAAATTTTAGATGGCTGGTTCTGAAGGGGATCCTAATTAACTGGAACTCTAGAAGATATAGACTGGATTCTATTTTTAAGGTAGCAGATTTTTATGCAAGCATTTTTAATGGGAAAACACAAGGTGCTCAAAAAGATAAGGAACCCAAAAGAAAACAGGGAAGAATAAACAACAGAAGATACAGTGATACAAAATGAAGAAGAAGACAAAGAAAACATTGATCAAGAAGGAAAGGTACTAATAAGAGAACAAAGACAGTGAATAATTGCTAGGAAACCAAACCCTACATATATTTAAGCAAGATGGAGAAAAGAAATGGGATCCTTTCGATGAATATAAATGGATTAAATTCCCCTTCTAAACAAATAATTTTTTTTTACATAATTATGAAAATTAGACACAGAAATTATTTGTCTGCAGGAAACACACATAAAGAAACAACACTATAGACTTTTAGAATGCCCCAAAATTGGGAAATTATATTTTACATCAGCACAGCAAAAAAACCCCCAAAAAACTAAAAAAGGAGTAGCTTTATATATTAAAGAATCATTGGATTCTAAACAGATATACTCAGATGAAGAAGGAAGAATTTTAATGGTGGAAATAACTAATCAAAAAAAGATTTTGATAATAGCAATATATGCACCAAATAATAAGCAAGATTTTTTTTACCAAGAATTACATACGAAAATATGGAATGTAATATCAAAACATTTGTCTTCTATGAGATTTTTATGCAATTGTGGACTAAACACTAGACTATAAAAGCATCCAATTAGGGGAAAAAGGAAGAAAGAGACTACCTAAGATGTTTTTTTTTAATGATAGAAGAAATTTGTATATAAGATTGGAGAGAAATAAACTCAAAAAAGACCCAATACACATTTTATTCAAATAAACACAAATCATGGTCTAGAATTGGTAATGATATGGATGTCCTTGGGATTAAGAGCTGATCTACTTGAGGTGGAAATATAACCCAGTGTTTGGGCGGACCACAATCTAGTAAAATTGACTTGGAGAGGAGTAAAGAAGAATCTTAGGTGGATATTGAACCAAGCCATATTAAGAGAGAAAGAATTCACGGAACCTGCAGCAAAGAAAATGGATTTTTTCTTTAAAGAAAATAAAACAGAAGATACCTCACTCCAGAATGTATGGGACACAGCTAAAGCAAAGTTTAAAGGATTAGTTATAATTTATATGGCTAAATTTTACGGTGGCGCAGTAGTTGGAGTATAGTACTGCAGGCTACTTCTGATGCAGCCAGCTGCCTGCAATTTGGCAGATCGAATCTCACCAGGCTCAAGGCCTGACTCAGCCTTCCATCCTTCTGAGGTGGGTAAAATGAGGACCCAAATTTTGGGGGGCAATATGCTGACTGTAGACCGCTTAGAGAGGGCTGTAAAGCACTATAAAGCGGTATATAAGTCTAAGTGCTATTGCTAAAAAGAATAGAGAGAAAAAGCGACAGACTATGTTGTTAAGAGTATAAGAAATTGGAGTTAGAGCTTCAAGATATCTACAAAAGAAAATGCTTAAAAGACAAATGGAGATAATTAAACACAAATTGAATTTAATAGTCTCAGAAAAAATAGCTCAACAAACCAAAAGAGCAAAACAAAAATTTTCTGAGAATGCAAATAAACCAGGAAGATGGTTGGCATATAAACTGAAAAAAGAAAAAAAGTGATAAATAAATTGCAAGATGAACAGGGACACACACATTTCCAAAATGAGTCAATAAAAAGAATAGTTAAGGAATATTATGAAAAGTTATATGATACAGAAAAGAAATCTATGGAAAAAATAACACAATACATGGAAGAACTTAAAGTCCTAGAAAAAATTAAAACTATACTAAATGGAAAAGTAACAGAAGCGATAAAAAGACAGAAAAATCATAAAACTTCAGGCCCAGGTTGGCTACCAGCAGAATTTTATAAATGTTTTTCAGGCACATTAGCTTCACCACTGAAGGAAGTTTGTAATGAGTTATTATTAGAAGCCAAATTGCCAAATACATGGATAGAAGAAAATATTACGCTAATACCAAAATAGGATGTAGACCTGATGCAGATAAAAAATTATAGACCAAAATCTTTATTAAATGTGGACTACAAAATCTTTGCTTCAATAATAGCAGAGAGACTGAAAAACTTTTTGATGGAATCTATCTACCCAGATCAAAATGATTTCCTACCAAAAAGACAAATAAAGCACAATTTAAGGATCATTTTAGACACATTAGAATACTATGAAACACATCCAAGAAAACAAATGTTACGAATCTTCTTAGATGCCCAGAAGGCTTTTGACAATGTAAGTTGTCAATTTATGATACATCAACTAAACTGAATGGACTGGAGAAGAATTTATAAATGTAATTAAGATGATATATCATAAACAAGTTTGGACTACCAGATTGGTCTTTATATTATCAAGCATGTGTGATAACATGGTTAAAAGAATGGATAACCTTTAAAGACTGTCATACTTAGAAGGACATGATTTACAATTAGGATGGCATGCCTTCCTATGGTATGAGAACAATAAAATCCATAGATACTTTCAAAATCACTATATAAGAAACTCACTAATACCAATATGGGAAAAAGTTAAACCTAAAATATTCCAGAATGGAAAAAATTCCAGAATGGCTCTCAACGATGGTAGCCTTTACATACCCAGATCTGGTGAAATTTGAAAAAATTGTGAAATATAAAGACATTTTGGACACTGAAGAGAAATTAAAATGGAAGCAAGAGCTTGAAGAACAGGACATTATACTATCATGGTGGCCTCAATTGCAAATAAAATCTAGATATGATATAGATATGAAAAAGGGACAAATACCTTTTGATAAGACACTATTGAACTCTGATGAAAAATTAAGGTATATATAACTTTGCTAAATTTAAAAATGGGTGATGAACAAATAAAAGACACAATGATACAATGGGAAAGAAATGTTGGCTATCACATAGAATTAGTGAAATGGCAAAATTTATTGGAAAGGAACTCTAGATTAATGATGGCAACTTCTCATAAAGAAATTTTATATAAAATGTTTTATAGATACATTTAACACCTGCTAGGTTAGCTAAAATGTTTAAAAACATGTCTAGCAAATGTTGGAAATGTAATCAAAAGATGGGCACATTTTATCAGATGGGGTGGATTTGTGCTGAAACAAAAAAAAAAATTGGGCAAAAATACACAGATGGCTAGAAAAGATAATAGGGAAACATGTAGATTTTAAACCTGAACTGTTTTTATTATGGATAATATCAGAAAATTTGATAAGAAAAGTATGCATTTGGTATTACATGTTTTAATAGCAGAGAGGATTATCTTTGCACAATATTGGAAAGATGAAGAAACACCTCAAGATGAAGAGATAATTAAGATACTAGATTGCACACAAATGGATAGACTTACATTGAAAATTAAACAGAAAGAAGACACAGAATATTGTCAAACATAGAACTTATTTTACCAGTGGTTGGCAAAAAGGGGTGGAGAGTAAGAATGGAATCTGTATTATTAAGCAAATTAAATATCTAGACAAGATGTTTATTAAGCACTAAGAAATGTAATTAATAGAAAATTAATAAAATTTATTTTTTAAAAAAATTGGGTGCTTGACAACTGGCCTGTGTTTAGGACCGCAGTGTTTGCTCACTAGCCTTTCTCCCCCCTCCATCTCTACTGTGTCCAGCTGACCTTTACCAACTTCCTCCTGCTCCTGACCTGGGATACAGGCCTTGGGCCAGGGAGCATCCCATGGATGCATGCAGTGAGTGGGACAGAGCGATGGAGCCTTGTCTTCCAAAGGAAGCTCACAACGCCTGGCTAGGGAAAAAGTATTAGGAAGGAGTTGGCAGTTCACACAAGGCGGGAGAAACATAAGCTAACCAAAGGAGTGTTTTGGGAAGCATGTTGGCAGTTGGGTAAATGGCCTTGGCACAGCTTGGCACAGCTGCTTCGAAAGCCTTTCCCAGTTGTATGTGCAAAGATGAATCTTCACTTTAATGGCAGCTCCAGTGGAAGTGTTGGTGTGTGCATATTGTTGGAGGTAATTTGAAGAGTAACCACACTGGGTATTCTGGAAGATGTGACTGCAGAAATGCAGGCAGCCTTGCTGATGCCAATACTTTTTGCAGAGCTCCCTTTCAAAGACTTAGCAGAGTCCTGCTAAGTAACATGTCTTCCCTTTAAGTTAGTCGAACAATTATTGCTGATGTAGAGAGATTCCCATTTAGAAAATAACAGTCATGGTTCCTACTTGAACACACGTGTAAGTGGATCATAAGCTTCCTAACAGACAGGAAGCAGCAGGTGAAGCTAGGCGGAATCACATCTGATACCTGTACAATTAGCATACCCCCCAAGGCTGTGTGCTTTCTCCACTTCTCCTTATATACCAATGACTGCATCTCAAATGATCCATCTATTAAAATACTGAAGTTTGCAGATGATACAGCAGTGATTGGTCTCATTCGAGACAACAACGAATCCGCATACAGACAGGACAACTTGCCTTGTGGTATAACTGGAACAATCTGGAACTGAACACACTCAAAACCGTAGAAATGGTGGTAGACTTTAGGAGAAACCTTCAAATTTCTAGGTTCTATCATATCACAAGACTTAAAATGGACACCTAACATAAAAAACATCATCAAAAGAGCACAACAAAGAATGTTCTCAGAAAGCTCAAACTGCCCAAGGAGCTGCTGATCCAGTTCTACAGAGGAATTATTGAGTCTCATCTGCACCTCTATAACTCTGGTTTGGTTCTGCAACCCAACAAGACAGACACAGACTCCAGAGAGTAATTAGGACCGCAGAAAAAACAATTACTACCAACGTGCCTGCATCGAGGAGGATGAGTCAAAAGAGGGCTGTGAAAATATTTACAGACCCCTCACATCCTGGACATAAACTGTTTCAACTCCTACCCTCAAAATGACACTATAGAGCACTGCACGCCATCACTCTGCTAAACAAATAATTCCCTCAACACTGTCCAATCATTTACAAAGTCTGCACTACTATTACTATTCTCATTACTCCTTATCGCCCCTCCCCTCCCACTTGCAACTGTAACTTTGTCGCTTGTATCCTTATTTATATTGACTGTTTCCTAGTATGATTTGATTGCTTATTGTACCCTATGACTATTATTAAGTGTTGAACCTGATGATTCTTGATGAATGTATCTTCTTTTATGTACACTGAAAGCATTTGCACCAAGACAAATTCCTTGTGTGTCCAATCACACAAGGCCAATAAAGTATTATATTCTGTTCTATTCTGATATATTTTTTCCTAGTATACATATCTACATTTTCACTTCAGGGTGAAAATTTTCATCTTAAGAGATAAACATTTTCACTGCATATCATATTATTGTTATAGTGTTTTGATATTTGGTTTGGGGATGGGTTGTTAATGTACTATTAGCTGCCAGTATCCACCATATAAACTGCCCAAATAAATATATAAATATTACAATAATTAATTCCACACAATTATTTGTTTCAGTTGGTCTTGGATTGGTTGCTGCCAGAGTCTCCGTCATCTTGATCTCTCTGGTTGTGAAAGAATAACAGATATGGCTGTAAGAAAAATTTCTAAAGCTCTAGGGATTTTGTCTTCCCACGAAATACAATCTCAGAAAAGTTTTCAAAACAGGAGAGGAAAAACTGTGTGGAAAAACGAAGAGATTGCCTTGGAGTTCAGCAAAAAGGATTGTGGCCTGCATTATATAACAAACGAAAATGTGATCAAGGAAGAAGGAAGCCATTGGAATGTACCTGTCAGATCAGAGGGTTTCAACTCTGCTTATATCTGGATGTTAGATGCCAAATATCTGGCCGATATTGAAGATGCTGCAGAGTGGAAGCACAGAAAATTTGAAGGAGATCGTGTGATAGAACCAGCCTCCCCTTTCCCTTGCTCTGCATCCTGCTGCAATAAAGGCATTTTTGGACTAAGGACTAGCTTTTGTTGGCAGGAGCAGCAACCTTGTGCTTCTGTGGCCCTCACCTACTGTGGCCACTCTTTTTGTTGTGCCGGGTCAGCATTAAAAACTTTCCAGGCACTCCCCCCATCCCCTGAGCTGCTTAACCACACACCAAGGACTAATAGGCAGAGGGAGGGGAAAGACTTGACACACCTCATGAGTGCAAAATCGGACCAAAAGGCAGCCCGAGTTCTTCAGTTCCTCAGTTTGTCAGGATGTTATCAGATAACAGATAATGGTCTCAGGTAAGTAATCTGTTGTAAGAGATTACTGTAGCTGTTTTGAAAAAGCCAGAGCACAAACGCATGCCACTAATCCTTTCTTTGGTATTTCTATTTCTCACACAGCTGAATTGAGCAATAGCAATGAAGCAATGAATGAATAGCAGTGAAGTTTTTTCCCCATTGAGAGAAGCCAGAGTAGGGTTAGAAAGGAGACCCAAACTCATCGGTAGCCACACATTGCAATGAACAGGAATATGCATTAAATTTTGCAGTTACTGCCAAGCAGGGACAAAAATAGCCAGAGAAATGATTGAAGGCTGGGAAACGGGCCCTTCATCAGTCAATGGGAGTGCTCATTTACTACCAGCCTATCGGGTACTTAGGAGCCAAGGGCATGGTGGCACAAGGAAACAATTAAGGACTTTAATAGCCAGCCATCAACACCCTAATTAACAACAAAAAGTTACACACAATCAGGAATCATAAATATAGTGATAGAACAGCCCAGTGCACATATTCTGGAGAGAGATTTCCTGATGCCATGGGCCCCAGCGTGAGCTTGGAAACTTGGAAGAATAAATCTTTGGTCATGGTGACTGACAGATTTGATCCTGCAACATTATGCTGGGACACTTATATTTACCTTCATTCACAATAATAGTTATGATTTTTCTTCAAATATGAGTAAGGTTTACCTTTATATCTTCTGCCTAGAAGGTAGGGCTGAAAACTTCCAATTCTTTTAGGAAACTTCTCCCCTCAATCTCTAATTTTACCTTCTAGAAATATATTCTAGTCTTTTTTCTTGCTTCCATCTTGAAGACCAAGAACTCATAGCCGAAACCAGGAGCCATGGGAACTTCTAGAGAGGCAGCAGAGATCGTGAACAGCACTGGCAGTGAGCTCAGCTTTCCATTGGAGTACGCATTGCAGCAATTTCTGCAGCCTCTGTTTGGATAGATTAGGCAATGGGAGTAATAGAACAGGGCTGTCAAATTGGCGGCTAGTGGCCCGGATGTATCTTGCGCTGGTCATGCCCACACCTGGTTTAGTGAAGGGGGGGAAGTCGGGATACGTCACATGATGCCGTGACACCGCAAGTTTGCCACCCTGACTTAGAATAAATCTTCTGATATCCTGAGCAAACCCACTGGGTAGTTCTGACAGATTCATTGTAGAATCCAGAAAAGTGAGCCTACAACAAAAGCAAATGAGTCCCCATAATTAGAATGGCAGTAGGAAGACTAAAGAGCACCAGGTATAGCAATATGGTGGAGAAAAATTGCTGAGCTCTGATTCAGCAGGGAGACATAAGGTAGTCTAATAATAACAGCTCAGATTATGAGGATGATGAGGTTTTAGATTATGCTTTGCATGGTCCACAACTAATATCAAAGGCTTTTTAATGCTGACTTACTTTGGTGATACCTAAATCAGCAAAAACGATCCTACATCACTACAATCAGCCAATGTTATCCTTTCAAGTTTCAAAATAAATATTAGAAAGGCTTTTCTAGACTTCATAGAGATAATCAAGAAACAGTGAGTAGGACCGGTGTAACTCAAGACACCCTCCACATTGGCGTGGAGGTGTATCTCTCTTTGCCATGATATCACGGGGTGCCTGCTTTCTGCCTAGCAGCAATTTGCTAGCAACGGTCTTAATGTATAAGTGAAATATAGTTGCTCACAGTTTGACTGGAATGTAGGACAAAGTATGTAGAAACTGTTAGGGAATCAGGGCTGCAGCTGACCCATCAATTATTGTTTAGGTTTTGATGATATTGGCATATTAATTAAAAGTTGTGGAGTATAATATGGTTATAAAACAATATACTACTATGTTATATATCTAGGGGCATGATGGCCTCAGCGGTTAAAGACGCTGAGCCTGTAAGCTGGAAAGCTGACAGCTCAGGTTCAAGACCCGAGTGCCACGCGATGGGCTGAGCTCCTATTACTTGCCCCAGCTCTTGCCCACCTAGCATGCAAATGCAAGCAGATAAATAGTTAACCACAAGGCAAGTGTTCCATGTGCCTCAGTGAATAGTTATGCTGGCCACATGACCACAGAAATGTCTTCAGACAATGCTTGGTTACCTCACCTATGGAGATGAGCACTGTCCCCTAGAATTGAACACAACTGGACAGGAGAAACCTTTACCTTTGTTATGTATAACACAATACAATTATTGTTACTGTTCTAATGAAAAAAAGTTTTCCTTTGCTCCTCATGTTGGTTCCTATCTTCCAGCATTGCAATCCACATGGCCCCCTCCTCCCCTTGCATTCCCCCAAGAGGTAAGAATTTTCCAGGCATTTGAGGCACCAGGGAACGGTTATAAATCAAGTAAAGTTTAGCTAGTATACATAGAGAGGAGAAAGAACTAAATGTATGAAATCCAACCCCCCACCCCTTCTTCCACTGAAGAATGGCAGGTACATGGATATCACATATTGCCCTCATAAAAATGGAAAATTCACCTGGAAGACATCAAATATATAATTCATTAAGAATTAGGATGGTTTGTGTGGGTATTTCAGGTGGAATTTCTGTAACAGTGTGCGGGCTTTTACATGTTTTTTTGGCTACCCATTTGTTTTGGGAGGAGAGTAGGTGTTTCCATGCTACTAAATATTGTGTGGAGCTATGGTGACTGCATGAATCAAGGATATCTCTAATTTCAAAATGTTGTTCTCCTTCCATCATAATGGGGGGTTAGAGGTGTGGGTAAAGGAGGTCTGATGCTTGAAGTGATTTCTGGTTTGAGTAGACTGCAGTGAAATACTGGATGAACCTGTCTAGATGTCTTAGGAAATAGGAGTTCTACAGTGACAGGGTTAATGATTCTAGTGATGGGAAATGGGCCAATGAATTTTGGTCCCAGTTTTTTAGAAGGTTGTAATGATTGTAGGAATTTTGTAGATAAATATACGTGGTCCCCAACCTTGAACGGTTTAGGTTCACTGCGTTTTTTGTCAGCTTGAGCTTTAAAAGCTGCTCTAGGGCTAGTCTGACCACTGGCCAAGTGGTTTGTAAATTGCTTATCCATTCCTTAAGGGAGGGATGTCAGGTTCCTTGGTGGGTAGCTCTGGCATGGGGTTTAATTCTTGTCCTGTGGCTATCTGGAATGGGGTGAAACCAGTGCTACTGTGCACAGAGTTGTTATAAGCTACCTCAGCAAAAGGCAAAAGGTCAGTCCAGTTGTCTTGTTGGTAGCTAATAAAACATCTTAAGTATTGTTCTAACACCCCGTTGGGTCTCTCAACCCCACATTCGTTTGTGGGTGGTGTGAAGAGCTCAACTGGGTGGAGCCTAACAGGTTTTAAAAAGCCCGCCAAAATTTGGAAGTATGTTAAGTACCCCATCCAAGAACTCCATGTAGACGATATATGTGTACTAAAAACATTTTTGCTAGTGCCTTGGCTATTGGAATTTTCTGGCAGGGTATAAAATGGACTTGTTTTGAAAAGAGGTCCGTTAACAACCCAAATAACTGTTTCCCCATGCTTTCAGGCAGTTCCACTATAAAATCCATATAAATCTCTCCAGGATGCTGAAGGTTCGGCTACAGTTTGTAGAAGTTCTGGGGATTTTCCTTGTCATCTTTTTGCAGCTGTGCAGGTGGGGCAGCTAGCAACATAGCTCTCGATGTCTTTTTAAAGGGATGGCCACTAGAATTGTCTCTTGATAAGGTGCAGAGTTTTTACAAATCCAAAATGTCCAGCTATTTTGGAGTCATGACATTGTTTCATGAGGCCCGGACTTTGGCTGGCAAGGACATAAAGTTTGTTCTCTACCCAGGCTAAACCATCCTTAAATAAGCAAATATTTTTGTGAGCCTGGAACCAGTCATCCTTAAGTAGTGCCTCCTTAAATTTGGAAGCTGTTGCACTGTCAGCAAGTGGTTCTTTTTTGACTTGCGCTCGGGTGATTACTTTGGCGGCTAGCTGGGTTATTTGGAGAATTGGTTTAACAAATTCAGTCTTTTTGCTTTTATATTGCGGTTTTCTTGACAGGGCATCAGCTAAAAAATTCCTCCCCTCTGGGAGATAATTGAGAGTGAAATTAAAACATTTAAAGTATTGCGCCCAACGTACTTGTTTGGGGGAAAGTTTTCCGTGGAGCTTTCAGCACTTCTAAATTTTTATGATCAGTCTAGACTTCAAAGGGGATTTTGTTCCCTTCTAAGAAATGTCTCCAGGTGAGGAGAGCGGCGTATGCCTCTTTCTCCATATGGCACATATTTGCTTGGTTTCTGTTTCTGTTAATTTCGTGGAAGTGTATGAATATGGTTGCAATTGTCCATGTTTGTTCTTTTGGAGTAGGACTGCTCCTACTGCCACGTCACTGTTTGGTTGACAAATGGCTGTTCTGGGTCTGGGTGTTTTAAGATTGGTTCGATTAAGAATAGTTGTTTAAGTTTTTGAATTCCGCTTGGCATTCCTTGGTCCTATTAAGGGGTTACCTTTGTTTTGGTTTCCTGCCCCCCTTTTGTTTTTAGCAAGTTTGTAATGGTGAGGGCGATATTCAGAAAAGCTGGAATGAACTGGTGGTAAAAGTTTGCAAAACCCAGGAAACTTTGTAGTAGTTTGCGGGTTTGAGGTGGCTCTCAATTGATGATGGCTTTTACTTTTTGTGGATCCATCTCTATTCCTTCTTGGGATATTCTATATTCCAGGTAGTCAATTTTTTCTTGGTAAAACTCATATTTAGGGTGTTTTGCATAGAGTTTGGCAGCTTGGAGTTTCGTGAGAACTGCCCGGACTAGCTTTATGTGCTGTGCTTTTGTTTCGGTGTAAGTTAAAATGTCGTCAAGATAAACTAGGACCCCTTTGTATAAATGTTCATGGAGTACCTCGTTAATTAGTTGCATAAATACAGCAGGGGTTCCTTGTAATCCAAAAGGCAGTACTTTAAATTGGTAGCACCCCAGTGGGATGTTAAAAGCAGTCTTCCACTCATCCCTTTTCCTAATTCTGATGCATTAGTATGCCTCTCATAAATCTAGCTTTGAAAAGATTTTTCCTTTAGAGAGGTGGGTCAGCATGTCCTTCATAAGGGGGAGTGGGTTCCACGCTGATTATGTTCATATTCCTAAAATCCACACAAAGGCATAGGGTGCCATCTTTCTTTTAGCGAAATAATACTGGGGCAGCTATTTTTGGTAGGGTGGGTTTGATGAAACCTTTTTAGATTTTTGTCGATAAACGCTCTGAGGTGGAAGTTCATCAGATGCCTCCTCGCTGAATACTTCAGCCAAATCCTGGTATTCTTTGGGGATACTAGTGGGCTCAGCAGGGTGGCCGGCCATGGCTGTTTCCCTGTTCTCTTTCCTTCCTTTCTTCCCTCTGGGATGTTTATAAATGTTACATGTTCCTGAAAATGTACGGTTTCTCTTCCAGTTTATTTTAGGGTTCATTGATGTAGGGTCCCCTTGGTTGAGTAAAATTTAAGGAAGAATTTATCTCTATCTCTCTCTGGGTTGACAACTATTACGGAGCCTGCTTTATGTAAGGACCAGCCTCTCCCCCCCTTCATATAAACTCTTGAAAACTTTGTATTTCAAAAGGAACCTTTTATTGAAAAGGGGTGAAAGCAAGTCAGAATTCAAAGCAGGCTCTGAGATCCCTTGGCATACAACTAGGAAATAGGTTATAGGAAATTAGAGATCCCTCCCAACAGTCCGATGTGGATTCCACCAATCCGCAGGTGTGAAGATATTGTAACCTATGTCTCTGAGAAAGCAGTTAAGTAAAGTTTCTCAGGGCTATCTTCCAGCACTGCAATCCACATGGCCCCCTCCTCCCCTTGCATTCCCCCAAGAGGTGAGAATTTTCTGGTCATTTGAGGTGCCAGGGAAGTTATAAATCAGGTAAAAGGTTATGTCAAAGACAAGGCAAGAAATAGAACACCTAGTATACATTGAGAGGAAAAAGAACTAAATGTATCAAATCCAACCCTTCCACCAAAGAATGCAATTTAAATTTAAATAATTTAAATAAAATTTAAATAAAAATTAAAGAATGTAATTTAAATTAAATTATTACTTTGTTATTGTATTTGTTCTTCTGTTTCTTTTGTGATCTTGGTGGGGGGAGGATTTCTGTTCTTGGCTGGTATACCAGAAGGGAGAGGGCTTTCCCCATGGAAAAGGGGTAAATCCAATTACAAGAGGTGGGATTAACCACTTGCTGTCAAGATCATCTTATGGGAGATATATTTTACAATCACTATTGTAACAAAGATAAAAGATGGCAAGTTCTGCAAATCAGATGGAATATAGATGTTTCCAAAGCAGTTTTTAAATTGTTGAGCTGAGAATAATTAGAACAATTTATTAGAGGATTTGAAATCTTCTATTAGCTATTGTGAAATAATACTAAGCTCTACATAGATCTCAAATATTGGACTGTTATTGATAGGTTTTGAGGCCAATCATGCATGTAGGTCACAGTCTTTAAAATAGAACTGCTGCTTGGAACTTTTGTTTTTATACTTCCTCACTCAAAAATCTGTTACCACTTTCCACTTTGACCTCTTGCAGATCATTAGCTTTAGATGAACTGTGACCTCCAGGAACTGTTGCTATTTATGGGTGCAGTGGTTTGGCAACACAATTGCATATTTCTCCCAGCATTCCTGAGTTGAATTTCTGACAGCCAGAGCATATAGGGAAAAGACTGCAAACAATTGGCATAGTTTGGATGGATGGATAAGGGAAATTCTTGACATGGTTTTAACTGAGCTTTGTTTTCCACTCCTAGGATGTTGGCTCTTAGAGGTGGGCTACCTTATCTAGAACACCTCAATCTCTCTGGTTGTCTGACAGTAACCAGTGCAGGTCTGCAAGATTTGGTCTCGGTGTGCCCGTCCCTAAATCATGAACACTTTTACTACTGTGACAACATAAACGGTAATGTTTTTTGAATAAAAATTTCAAAATCTTTTTCTTCATATAGGTGGAAGACCTCCAGTATACCCTACAAACATTTGATAAATTGTTGCTAAAGATAGATTTAAAATTTATTCTAAGTTTATGCTGTTTTCTTAAGGAATCATAGTTGCGAGGAATATTAAAGAATTTAGTTTCAGTCAAATAGCTAACGATCGATTTATAAAAGAAAGAAATCTCTAGTTTTTGTGTTTGCTCTTATTCTGGCATACATGTTTGTAAAAAGATTAGAAGTAACATGTAATCTTGTTTTGAAGTTTTGATGACTTGAAGTCTCAATATTTTAATTTTGAGTGCTTTCAAAGATTATTTAGTACCAAGTATCTTACTAATAATATTCTAACTACCAATTTTGTTTTCAGTGCAAAAGTACATTTAAAAATGGCAGTCTTGCTCAGAGTTGAAATCATCTTAAGCCTGAAACAATTTCTGAACTTACAAACCAAAAGCCATGTTGGGAATAGTCTTGGCAGAAATGCTCCTGTATGATGGTTATGTTGGTATCTTTAGCAAGTTCCTGACTTACCACTTGTTACACCTCATGAAAGTGAAATTTGCACATGACAAATGTTGCTCTCCAAGCGTGTTTCAGAATAGATTTGCAAAATGATAAAATACTTCTCAATGGTTACAATTACATCTGTTTCAAAAATGACATCTAGTGCTACTTTCATTTTCTCTTTCTATAGTGAGGAATTCCATAAGATGCAGCATTTTATTTTTACTTGAAGTATAGAAATTTGAATATACTGGGCAGGTCTACTGTTAACTGCTTATAGGAGGAAACTGAGGCTGTGAGGGCTTAAATGTTCTGACCAACCAGATTCCTATAGCCTGCACAAATATCAGTGAGAAATATACAAGATCATGGGGGGAGGGGCTTAATTTCATTTCATGCCTATAAAACATGCTGGGACTTCCTATTGGGGGGGGGGGGGGCGTATTGTTGGAGAAACAGGGTAGTTTGAGGGAAGGAAGCAAACATTGAAAAATTAATGAAATGACAATGACTAAATGTGGATTTTTTTGCTAAAAAAGTTGTATTTTTAACCCAATTACAATCTTTCCCTGGTAATTCGATTGTTTGGAAGTTACTTCAGCATTCTTCTATAGACAAAACATACTGTATATAGAAAATCAGTAGCAAAATTTAGGATTTTTAATCTTACTAAATTCTTCAATATGATGTTGCACTAGCACACTGATTATAGTTTCAGTAAGGAATCAGAAAGGTTATATTAAGATTGGAATATATAGATGAAATATCTATATATTGCTAAGGTCAACATGATTGATTGTGCTTGTTCATTAAGAGAAGTTTGACTGAAACTCAGTGGCACACCTATTTTTATATGTCAGATAATATAGGCACTGGATTGCATGTTTTTTTAAAAGAAAAAGTCCTAGCAAATGGAGGTAAGTAGCTTTTGATAGTGATTTAATGTGCAGTCCAGTTTTTTTTGAAAGTTTCATTAGTAAGTGATGGCTCACAATGTCCCTTTAATTTTTGTGGAGTAATATACTTAGATTGGATGAATCTGTGTATTCCATTATTCCCTGTAATCTGAGATTTCCCCATTCATCAATAACCTTTCACTGATTTTGTTAGTGCAACTTGTAACCCTTAGTGAAAGTCACAGAAACACATTTCTGCTAGGAAAGTTTCTGCTCAGCCTGCATCCAGTCCCTTTTTCTTCCTTTCACATTTGTTCTGTCTTTACACAGGTCCTCACGCTGGAACCGCCAGTGGATGCCAGAACTTGCAGTGTGGTTTTCGAGCCTGCTGCCGCTCTGGTGAATGATCCAACTCCTTACCCTTTTTGTCTACTTCATTTAGCTCCACAGGCTTCCTCTCATGCACTTTACCGTTTGCATCTTGTTCTTGACTGTTTTCTTTAGGAGTGTGAATTGTTTTTGCTGCGTAATTCAGAAACTTGTAAGCAACCTGTGTAGGGTTTTATCATTTTTCAGAGTGTTCTGTACTGATTTGGAAGGTGAGAGTTAAATTTTTTTGTGCTGTGAAAAGAAATTATTAAATCACCTTCACCCTAATGTTTGGCACTTAAATTTGGGGTTTCCCCTCCTCTTTGTGCTAAGTCCATAAAAAAGCTTATATGGAAATTTTTCAGTGAATGTAAAACACATTTGGATAACAATATATATTAACTAGTTATTTTCCCCATAACCTTATGCCAGAGTTGTTCTTTATGAATTGGAGATTCTTTCTGTCTTTTAGTACTGATTTCACATTTTAGGCTTGAGGAACAGTAAATAAAACATTCCCATCAGCATCAGAGTTTGTTAGTCTGATAGCGCTACAGCAGGCCAGTGACTGCCGTTGTCACATCATCTTGTGGGCTTCTCAAAGCATTTGCTTAACTGTAGATGCATAGCAACCATAATTCCCTACATCTTCTATGTAGACATACTAAAGATGTTGAATTTTGAAAGGGATTTTCTAAGAAGCAATTTCTCTGTGATCAAGAGCAACTATAATAAACTGCAGCTTTAAGAAACTTTCTTGTATCCATTTGCATGCTGGGAAGATACAAAAAGGTAGAAGATGATTTGTTATTCGTGCTAGGTGGCAATGTGTTTACAAGTAGACCTCACTGACTGCCTGGTACAGCAGAGTGCTGAAAAAAATAACTGCAACCATGGAATAAGTTTACCACCCATGCAGTCATGTGACTACCATTACAGTCATATGCATTGTCCTATGTCTGACCTCCCCCCCTGCAGAGTAGAGACTGAAGAGGAAGGAAGCAAGAGAGCATAAGCAGGTACATATTAGGGAATACACCCAGATGTTTGTGGCTTCAAGCCCCAAGCATGTTACCCAAAGGAACCAGCAGAACTGCATTCCTTTTGATGGATATTATCCATTGTTTGTCTGCTTACTCTCTTATAATCCCTTCCTTTGCAATAATTAAATAATGAATTAATTTTTAAAAAAATTTCATTCTTCCTAATTTTCCCAGCACTGGGGTGAGCATTTCAAAGGATGGAGGTGTGACAAAGCATAGTCACAATCTTATGGTTTCCCACTTCGTCAATGCTTTGTTTAGCAACCAGGCTGCTGGTCCCAATTGTTGTCACTAAATGAGAACTACCTGTATTGAAAAATACAATGCTTGGTTTCATGTGACATGCAGTCTTGAGAGCTGTGACTCCCCCCCCCCCCCAAAAAAAAAAAAAAACACCACCAAAGGAATTTGTCCAAATGGCCACCAACAAATAAGAGGATAGGAGGATTTGAAAGAACTTTTCTGAAAGTAATTTTGTCATAATTCTGTGTCACAATTGGATGAAAATAAATGTACTATATGTTAATGTTTATTTTGTAAATAAGTTACCTTGATTTATATGATATCTTTAAAAAAATCACTTACAGAAGCTTTAAGTTTAAAAACAACTCATAAGACATGTATACATACTTCGCGTTAACAAGTAAAAAGACTGCAGACAGAAATTCAAATACATTAGTGTCCTGCCATTCTATTCCAAACAGTTCAGTTTTCAGATATTCAGTTCAGTGGTTGTTCTGGTAAGAGTCCTCCATTTGATTTCCTTCCACGAAATGGGAATGGGAACTTTTTGCACAGATGCCCAGAATTTGCCTCGTGTATTGAGAGTTTACTTGCCTACCTGTACACAATGGTATCTCTAAGATTAAACGATCAGGATTCAGATCTAAGAATCAAAGCCTGGAAGTAATAGTTGAGATTTTTGCTGCCCCAGGACAGAAAATTTTATACAACTATAAAGCAATTTTCATCAGGAGAATTAAAGGATAAACATGGGTACACAGGTATGCTGCCTTGAACTGCTGGATGAAATGTGGATAGGAATCAACTACGGCATACCTATTTCCCTCGGTAACTCTCCTCCCTGTCCATTTTGGAGAGTAATCTCCATGCTTCTAAGTTGCCTTTTCTACTATACTCTTACAATCTTCACAGCAACTGAAAGGAGTCTTATCTAATTAACTCTGATTGGGGGTGGGATGTTTTACACTTCAATAATATCAAATGAAAATAAAATGAAAAAGTTTCTCTGCATCGAATACACCTCAGCAGCATTAAAACTGGACATGTTTTACCAATTCTCATTCCATCTGCAACTTAAGAAAGCTTCTGGTCTCCAGAGGTTGTGGTTGCTCCATCACTGAAGGTTTTGAAGAAGAGATTGAACAGCTATTTGTCTGGAATGGTCTGTCTTGACTGAGCAGAGGGTGGACTAGAGCAGGGGTCGCCAACCTTTTGGACCTCAGGGACCACCAAACTCATAATTTTAAATCCTGCGGACCACTAACATGAATTTTGAGTGACGGTGACTTGATGACGTTGGTGGGAATGAGAGAGAGAGATCTGATTTAACCTCAGAGGGCTGGCGGTGATGTTTTCTCTCACACACAGAAACACACACAAACACACAGAGGTCCCTCACACACACACACACCCCTTCCAAGGCAGCCAATTCCTAACTTGCTTCTCAGCTCCATTCTCAGGGGGAGAGGGAGAGAGAGAGAGAGAGACTGTATCCTGCGATCCCAAATAAAGAACGATCAATCGGTAGAAAAACGGGGTGGGGGATTTTCCTGCAGGGTCTCTGCAGAAAAAGCAGAAGCAGCAGAGACCCTGGGAAAATACCCCCAAAAGTGTGCAGGAAAATTCTCCACCCTGTTTTTCTACCGATCGATCATCGGTAGAAGCAGGATGCCTTGAAATGAGAAAGACTCATTTCTGGTGGGAGTTTGGGGGAGAGAAAGAAAGACTTTTGCTGCTTCCCTTGCATGCAGCCAAAAACAAAAGAAAGAAATGGAAAGCAGCAGCCCGGTGGCCAGGCCAGGCACGTGGGGTGAGTGGGGCAAGTCGTCCCCCCCCGCGCTTTCCCACCTCACCTCACTACCTCGTGTTGTTCGCAATGCAAGCGACACAAGCCTTGTGTTCCCGTGCAGCCTGGATTAAGTGCTTTGGGAGTGACATTTCTCTGCGGACCACCAAAATTTTCTTGTGGACCACCAGTGGTCCCCGGCCCACCAGTTGGCGACCACTGGACTAGAAGATCTTCAAAGTTCCTTCCAACTTTATTATTCTGTATTTTGCAATAATCTTCACATTTACCAAACTAATCTACGTATATTATTCAGAACTCTGCTGCTTTTTCTTCAGAAGCTCCAGGCGACCTGTATGGGCGTCTTCATTTTATATCTATAGCCACCATCCAATAAGGTAAGCTGGGCTGGGGGAGACCATCTTGCACTTAGTTATGAAGCTTCCATGGCTGAGGCTGGGTCAAGAGCTACCTTTTTTTCCCCCCTGCTACACTCCCTGGGCATTGAGTTTAATAGGTCATCTAAGGTTTGAAGGCAAAAGTAATGAAATCTTCTGAGACAAGGGTATTCCTGCCTTGATGTGACAGGAGATACAGAAGGACATGATTGACTAAGCACATGCAGGTACCAATGGCTTTCAACTCCTGATTGCTCATTCTTGCCAGCCTCCTTGATAGTGTTAGTAGCCCTTGGACTTTGGCACCAAAACCCCTGGGGTGCCACCACAAAGATGTTTCTGTAGATAAACCTTAACTCTACTGTGGGGATCAGGCAGGAAATTCCTTGAACAGCAGCAACTATTGGACTTTGTGGAAACAATCTGTTTCTGTGGAGCCCTATCGATTACAAACCAAAGCAGCCACGTAAATCCACACTGAAAGGATGTGTTTGGGGTAAGCATGAACATACGCAGCTAGTGCAAATTCTGTGTTTGGAATTTCAGTTTTATGAACTCCCGTACTATATACAGCTTCAACTATGGATGCAACATCTGAAAATGGCAAGTGGATGGGAAATCCAGAGACCTGCAAGAAGGGAAAGAAGAAGGAGAAGAAGGGTTATCTAATGACACCACTTCTATCATACCGGCTTCTAACAGCATTGGATGGGCCCTGCAAAGCGTAGATATTCTTAACCACTAACTGAACATAGTTCCTTTTCTGCCGTTTACATTAGAAAAAAACAAAGTTACAAGGCAAATAGTTGAACAAAAAAGCAGTCTTTTAATCAATTTTGCAGGCCTAGAAGTCGGGAAAAACTGCAGAACACTGCTTAGGAGTTATTTTCAATCATTTACCAACTGGTTATGGAAATAAAAAGATGTTTATGGGTGTGTCTTTAAGGTCCCCCCCCCCCCCGAGACTAATAAGGTTGTGTAGTAAATTTCTGTATGTTCTTTCGCCAGTTTCTTCTACGCTGAATTTGGTCATGTTCTGTTCAGTTTTCACAGATCCTGTGGAACAAGATTCTTACCTTCCTTTACAAAATTTATTGGAAGCAATCAATAAAAATGGTTTGGGAAACAACTCATAGCAGGATGTGTGTGTGTGTGTGTGTGTGTGTAAATCAGATCCTCTGCTAACAATCAAATAAAGCTTCAAATCCTATATGAGCAGAAGGTCATATAAATTAAACTTTCTGCATTTGATGTTGATGTTAACATAGCACTGCGCTGCACCTTACAGCAGGGTGTTTAGATCTGGCCTGCAGGACCACCCTGGAAACAGCAAAGGACTGGCCCCTGGTGCCTGTGTCAGCGAAAACAGATTGGGAGGGTCGCATACAGCTGCCGCTCGAGTTCCGTTTTCTCTGGCTAAGGGCTGCAGGATGCCATTGTGGCCGCAAATGGAGCCCGTTTTCACTGGCAGAGCACTTGGGTCACCACAGGTGCCCCTCCAACATGTCAAGCTGGCCATGCCCCCCTGACCACGCCATGCCCCCCAGGTCAAACACAACTGATGCAGCCCTCAATGAAATTAAGTTTGACATCCTTATCTTACAGCATCTTGAATCCCCGAGGAACCTATATAAGGGTCCTTTTTGTAGACTCACCAATATCTTTCCAGAAATTCTTCATTCTAAACTGACTTAGCTAGGCCTGTCCACACTTATAGGTAGATTATAAGTTTTTTGACAGATAGAAAACAGCAGGTGAATCTAGTTAAAATGACATTGAATACCTGTTCAATTAGCACAGTTGACCCCCAGGGTTGTGTACTCTTTCCATTACTCTTTTCTCTATATATCAATGACTGCATCTCTAAGGATCCCGCTGTTAAAGTACTGAACTTTACAGATGATACAACAGTCATTGATTTCAACTGAGACGATTATGAGTGCATATATTGACGGAGGTTGAATAACTGGCATACTAAAACTAGAGAGGAAATTGGATTTTAGGAGGAGCCCTATTCTACCACCTCTTTCTATATTGGTATCAACAGTACAGACTTTCAAATTTCTCAGTTCTATAATCTCCCAAGATTGGAAATGAACACCCAACATCAGAGCCCCATTATTGCAACCAACCTTTCTTCGATCGAGGACCTGTATATTGCATGGGTCAGAAAGAGGGCTGAGAAAATTATCTACACACATTCTGGACATAAACTGTTTCAACTCCTCCTCCTCCTCCTCCCCTCAGGATGCCACTATACGGCATTGCATGCCAAATCAACTAATCATTTTTTCCTCCGCTGTAATGACCCAGGACGGGGCATGAAGGTCACACGGCCAGCTGAGAGTTCAAACTCCCCTTTAATGCTCCAAATCTCCCCCCAAACGTTCCTACATTCTTGGCAAATCCCAGTGCAAAGCACGCACGTGCACGCACACACATGGCAGCCTCTGGCTGCACCTAGTTCAGCAAAACAAAGGAGCAGGGAAATGCGTCCATGAACCAAGGAACAAACAATGAGTCCACGAAGTCAAGAACAAGGCACTGAGTCCATGAAATCAGGAAGAAGCAAGCAGTCCTGCAAACTCCAAATGTTTGTACCAGCACACCAAACTCTACAAATTCAGAGTTTGTTCCCGACAAATGCGCCTCCCCCAGCTTCTCCTTAAATCTCAGTCCCCAGGTGTGCCTTATGAAGAGAGGCGGGGCGCTTTCCTGAGTCATCGTGTTGGCCTGCACTGTTTCTGCCTTCTCTCCACTCTCCATGCTCGGGGATCAAGAGGGGGCAGTCCTTGCGGCCCTCCGTTTCTATTTATATTCTATCTATTGTTTCTATCTTTAGTATTTCCAGCAATTGAAGGGGGACTGAAAATGCCAGGATAGTGGAGACAGCCATGCAAATCAAGCTCCATCTCCTTTCTATGTCTATGTAACAATGTAAAAAGGATGTCTTCAATCACATGGTTGGGGATCAGTGTCAATTTTTTAACTCCTTTCTGTGGATGCCCCTGCCAGCAATTCTACTTTTGATCAAATAAAGATCAACCTAAGTCAATAAATCAGGATTCAGCGATAGTGTTTGCAATATTTCATTTTGCATTTGCAGATGCCATTATCAAAATACAGTTAAAAAATAACAATACAGAATTGTGTCAGGTATAACTTATGATTTAAACTCCGTTTCCCTCCTTTCTGCCACCAGACTATTGTCCAAATTCTTTAAAATAATTGCCATTCTCACTTTGTCTTTTGAGGAAAAAAAATCTAAGTTGTACACAATATTTCTTATGCCAGGGGTCCCCAACCACCGGTCCGCGGACCGGTACCAGTCCGCGGAACAACTCCTACCGGGCCGCGGCTTGCTGGGCGCCGCCATCTTTTTTTCATGAAAAAGTGCTTCCGGTGAGCTTTTCCGGGTAGAAAGCTCACCGGAAGCACGTTTTCATCAAAAAAAGATGGCGGCGCCCAGCTGATGCCGGTAACGGGCCGCGGGATCAAAAAGGTTGGGGATCACTGTCTTATGCACATGAGTAATTGTGTAAAAGAAGGTTATAATCTGGCCCAGGAAATGCTAAATGTAGTGGGGTATGTTTCCCTTAATAAGCTCTAGTTAGGCAAGCCAAGGGACTGATTTAGAACATAATGTGCTAAATCAAGGGTCTTCAAACTTGGCAAGTTTAAGACTTGAGGACTTACGGACTTCAAACTCTCAGAATTCCTGAGCTAACATGACTGGAGGAAGAATTCCACAAGTCTCAAAGCTGTCAAGTTTGAAGACTCCTGTGCTAAATCAAAGCTGACTTGGCCCTTTTACCAGTTTAAGCAGTTAACTTCAAAGCAATAATTTCCTTCCAATAGATGCTAAGATGAAAGTTAAACTGCTCCTAAGTTTAAGTCAGAAACCAAATCCTGTTAGATGGGGAATATCTTCCCATTGAGGGTGTGGAAACGTTTTTTTCTGAATACCTCTAGGGCAGTATTTTTCAAACTTGGCAACTTCAAGCTGCATGGAGTTCATTTCCCAAAATACCCCAGTCTGCACTTTGAAGCCTGCACATCTTAAGGTTGCTAAGTTTGAAAAAACACTGCCTCATTGTGCTGCTGCATCATAGCTATCAAATATCTAAAATGCTTTTCAGGAATAAAAATTTTTATCCATACCCTGTAGTCTCCAAGTTGTTTTTGTAATTCTGCCTGATGATCGTCTTCTGCCTCTTTGCCTTGATGTTTCTCCAACAGAGGCAAGAACTGCCGGAGGGCAGAGGTACAGTATCTGTTCCAACGTGTCAAGTGGTTTGGCCGCCATTCCATGATTTTTTCTTTTAATATCTTCTCAAGCCTGCATTTATAATTTTTTTGAAAATGTTAAATTTGCATTTGAAATTCTGTGGGTTTTCTGCAACTGTTTTTGATTGCAGAACATCAAGAATGAGCTAGCAAGAATCATTTTCAATTGGAGTTGTATAGCCTAAGTAAACAAACTACTAAAACTACGTTAGAAATGTGATTTCTGGCTTCTCTATATATCATATATTTGGGCTTATGAAAAGGTATTCAAAACGCTACAGTTTAGATTCCTACTATTTTTTAATTGTAACATAAACCCCACATTTTAGTAATAACATTTGAAGTCAATTTTCATAATAGAAAAAAATTTGAGATGGTAACACGAGGGTTTGTCACTTCAGCTAGGGAACTAGATGAGAACAGAATTCAATATCTGTCTTCTGATGTCCTTTCCAACTTTTCATTTGTGTCAACATTATAAACATTCTTTAAATTTGGGGAAAAGGTGAAGGTTGCATGAGACCAAATCTGCAGGGTACATAGGATAGGACAATGAAATCCAACCACACAATTGTGTCTTGGGTAGCTTGTAATGTATGAAACATGTCATATTGCAGCAAATCTTGTGTTTACAAACCCTGTTTCAAGTTAACTGGAGACATTGTTTTAAGTGTTGCAATGTAGTTATCAGACTTGCCCTGACTTAGACTTTTAAGAAAGAAAAACCCTCAACTCCATTTGGCTGAAGTGATAGGTTCTTTTACTAAAGTTACAGCGAAAGTAAAACTAGATCTGTGTATCCCCACGCAAAAGTTACACTTCTCTTTCTCTGGCTTGTCCCCCTTGACCAGTTCACAAGTGTCCAATAGTATTCCTTTTGGATGTTTTGGGAAATGCTTTGATGCTTGGCGCCTCTCGATATAGTTTCACATTCTGTTCCCAGACCAGTTATCCTTGACAGCTGGCTTATTCCGATTTGACACCTCTGGTTCTCATCGGATTCTCTCCCCCTCCCTTTTGTCTTCTCTTTCCCATGCCCAAGCATTAGTTTCCCAAATTCCTCTCCTCCCCTTAGGATTTATGGCAGGATGCCAGTGAAGCGAAGAAGCTGAAGATGTCAGACTTGACATTCTGTCCCCCCAACAGGGACATTAGTCTTGCAGGAAGAATGGGAGAAAAACAAAGAGAATAATTAATTTTCAGTGGGGTTTATCTGAATGCCTGTTATGGAACTTGCAAAGCTTTGGGGCTTGGACATGCTGAGCATCCACCGATTCTGTTTCTGAAGGGGGAAAGTCTTTCCATATTAGGTATTGGATCTTTCTTCTGTGTCTACAAGAATCTAAATTCTCTTTAACTTCTCTTTAACCTTCAAATAGGATGGAAGTAAGTTGTGATTTCACTGCAAGGGGTAGGGGAGAAGTGATTCCTGGGTTCAATGCACTATAGTGAAAAACTGAATGAAATAGATCTAAGAGGTTTTGGTAGCCCCAGTTGAGCCATTACTGAATTGATGACAGGCCAATGTATTTGGGCCCTATTTTTTTTATTGCTGCCTAGACTGCAGGTATTTAGTGCAAAAGTAGACTTGTCACCTATGTTAAAGTCTTTCGGCTTGGAAGGTTTTTGTCAGCATGTTTTTTATGTTTCTTGCGCCTCTTCGAGCACTTTGTGGACCAGCTACTTTGTAGTTGGCTAATCCATTCAGCTAATGATGTGGTTTGTGGCTTAGTTTGTGGCAAATTTGGCATAGCTAAAAAGTCCTGCACAGATGCAATTTGAAAAGGGGTGAAACTATCTACTGTGTTACTGTAGGCAATCTACTGAAAGAGAGGAGATCTGCCCAATTCTTTTGTTGGTAGTTAATGTAGCATCATGTTCCAGGATGCCATTCTTACGTTCACACACCCCATTTAACTGAGGATGATGGGAGGAGCTAACCACCTTCTTTAGGAATTCCTGCAAGGATTGCAAAGTAAATTGACCGATACCCCCTGGCCACCGATCTGAAATTATGCATTTTGGAGCTCCGTGAAGTTTATATACATGTTGTACAAATAGCTTCTTCTGTATGCAAACTGATGTTTATCAAATGTATGCGGAAGACCAAAAATGATGTGCCGGCAGACCAATTTCTCAAAGCAGTTCATGATGATAGGAGTGAGTGCCACTAGTCTGTAATCGTTGAGGTTATTGATAGGGAATTTCTTTGGCAGTGGAACAATGGTGGAAGCCTTCAAACAAGATGGAATAGTGGACTGGGATAAAGACTGATTGAAGATCTTGGTAAAGACTCCAGCCATCTGATCAGCAGTCTTTAAGCACTCGGCCAGAGATACCATCAGGACCGACAGCCTTTCTAGGGTCCATAGTCCTCAGAATGCTCCTCATCTCCTGATCCTCCACAATGAGGTGGGGATTACAACTGGCTGGTGGCTGTATTTTATCTGTCTCTGATGTCTCCACTTCAAAGCGAGCAAAGAAATGATTCAGTTCTTCTGCCAATGAAGCATCCCCCTCAGCAGGGATGACATTGGTTGGTTGATGGTTTGTAATTTGTTGAATCTCTCGCCACACCTGCCTCATGTTATTGCTATAAAAATATTCTCAATCTTCCTCTTAGTCTTGGCCTTCAAATACCTTTCTTCACATTAGCTCTGGCAACACTATATCTTGCCCATGGCTTTGGTCCTGTCATGCAAGAGGCACTGGACTTCCTTGGTCATCCAGGGCTTCTGATTGGGATAGATCTTAATATGTTTATACACAGTGATAGTATCTGTGCAGTGTTTGATATAGCACAAAACAGCTGCAGTGTGCACCTCTAGGTCAGGATGGTAAAAGATGTCCCAATTTGTGTTCTCAAAACAATCCTGAAGTTGTTGGGAAGCATCTTCTGGCCAAGATTTCACTGTCTTTATCATAGGTAGAGCCCGTCTCCTAAGAGGGATGTATGTTGGTGCTAAAAGCAGTGACATATGGTCTGGTTGTCCCAAATGTGGTAATTATATAACCTTATAGCTATGTTTGATTTTGGTATAAACTTTGTCCAATATGTTTGCTCTTCTAGTAGCACACTTAAACATGCTGATAGAATTTAGGGATCACTGCTTTTAAATCAGCTTGATTAAAGTCCCCTGCTATGATATGCACAGCATCAGGATACTTATTCTGCTGATTACTAACGAGGTTATACAAGAATCCCAAAGCTATGATAGTATTGGCATCAGGTGGGATATAGATTGCAGTAATCAAAACCACGCTGAAATCCCGTGGAAGATATATGGGTCTACATTTAAAAGTCATATACTCCAGATCCATGGAGCAGTGGCTGTCTACAGTCTTTGTATTGATACACCAGCTTTTGTTCACATAAAGGCTTAAACCTCCCCCTTTGTTCTTGCCAGAATCTCTACTACTTTTTTAAAAAACAAGTTTTATTCAGTTTTTCACATACAAAACAAAAAAGTGGACAACATAATTCCGGGTCATCACTTACTTTTACATGCAAATATGACAACGGTTATATATTCGTTTTTTACATTCAACTTCCTATCTTATCCAATTTTAACTTAATTCTGTTATTACCTTTTCCATTCCAACTTTTACAGAAGAACAGAACAAACAAATTAATCCTAGTCTCTGATATTAGTCTCAATCTGAACATCCTCTCAGTTCATTTCAATTTATTCCAAATATATATTTTTAAACATTATTTCTTTTAAAAATAAAAATAATATGCACTTTTATTTTTACCTTTTCCAAATTACCCTTTTCTCCTTAAAATCACATATAATTCCCATATCTTCATACTTATTATCTTTTAATTTGTTTATCTGTCAAATTTGCAATTTCATCGCATATTCTTTCCATAGGTTCTAAATTAATACAAGCTTTTACACAAGAGAAAAAGTTTCCCCTCCCCCCTTTTACTAATTTGAATGTGTCATCTCTGTGGTTTAAATATACCTTAATTCCCTCACCTTACTTCCCAATAAACATTTGCTTTTAGCTAGTTATAATAATAGTCATTCCCTAAAAAATCTACATAACATTATATATCTTTTCCATCAGATTCTGCATTGTATTTCCCCCTTTAATATTTCCCCCTTTGTATTTCCCCCTTTCATATAATTTATTTATAATTTCAAAACAAAGGTAAGAAAAGAAAAGACAATTAATCCATTTAACTAGTCCTGGTCACTGATATTAATCTCATTTTTAAACATCCTCATAGATCATTTCAATTATTTCAACTTATTTAATACACATTGACATTTCTTTTTTTAACAATAAGACTAAAAATATGCATTCACCTACTAAATAATATCAGTGTCCATTCCTTCTCTTAGTAGTCTATGTTTCCCTATTTTCTAAATATTTTGTAATACAAATGCATTCTTATTACCCCTCATCCCCTTGCGGAATCCTTTTTTTAATTCATTAACCATTGTCTCTATGTCTTCTGAATAAACAAATTTCTTTATTTCCATATTTCTTTATTTCCTGCTCCTGTTTCTCATTACCTCTCTTCCCCTTTATTTTCCCATATCTTTTCTCCCTCGTTAGTATCCCTCTTTGTATTTTCCTTCCCCCTTTTCTGCTGTTTCTTTCTGCCTTTCCTAATTTCACAGGTATTCCCCTTTTCAGCTACCTTCTTGAATCTCAAATTTTTAACCCCCCCTTTTCCCCCTCTTCTTTGTGGTGTTCTTTGTGTTAATTGTCTATTTAAGATGGCTTCTCCTTGAACTAACTCCTCCTTCTCTGAAGTCCTTTCTTCATGTTCTTCAATCGCCATTTCCATAGCTTTTAAAACAGAGCCAAACAATTCATCTTTTTCCTGTAGTAATTCTTTCATATTTTTAAGTTCCATTTTTAGTTCCTGAAGAGATATCATCATTGCACACTCTTATGATCATTAAAATCCACAAAAACTTTTATTTTTCTTCTTCCTTCTTCAGGTTTTCTAGATTCACAATTATTCCAACACTGGGTCTATACCAAAATCACCAATTAGTCCCGCAGTCAGTCTTTTCTTGCTTTTTCTTTTAT